TTATAATTTTTTATTTAAAAAATCTTTACTTCGACCTATATCTACATTAACATATAGTTCTGTTACTTTTTGTTTTAGTTTATCACGAATCAGCGATCAGGGTAATAGAAATAGTTTTCTCTGGTCCAATTATGCCTGATAGGCAATTTGGACCATCTATTTCAAATTCGACACAAGTTTTATAAAGTTACCTGATGTAGCGACATAGTTGATATCGTGGCCGGCAACTTTCGAGAGTGGTCCATCTTGTCCGTAACCAGTAATGCGCGCCACTACCAGACCTGGATTTGTTCTGATGATTCAACGATCGAAATATAAACATTCTTTTTCATCTAGTGCTCTTCGTGTGTATATAAATCGATTAGGATGACAAAATGTGCCATAGGCGCTTGCTACTGCATGTAGTAACGAGCTTTTGATTGCATCAAATAACACTGGCCTGCGATGCCAGCTTCCAAGGTTATTTTGTCCTTGCATCGATTAACTAAGGATATTGAGAACTGACCAACGTAACGATACGGATGTATTCGTCCCTTGGTACTGCACTAACCATAATTTCATATTTTCATTATTTCATCTCTTCAATGTAAACACCAGTGATATTAGATCGATCATGGTAATGCTGGGTGAAAAAAAAAAACACTATTTCATATAAAATAACAATTGAGACTTGCTTTCACATACTTGAAAAGTTCTATGGGTCCAAGTCCCATTCCTTCAAGAACACCAGGTCGGTACGGATCGATAAGGACATCGCTCCGGTCGGCAAGTTTTTTCAACAACTCACGACCGCGTTGCTGTTTCAGGTCGATCCCAATTGAACGCTTCCCTCTAGCCATACGGTCAACGACAGCTCTACGAGATATTGGCTGTACTATGTGATCAGTAAATTTCGACTTGCGTTACGTTATTCAATCTTTGAAATGAAACTAAGGTGTGCTTGCTTCTTTTAAAAGTGCTGGAGTATTACGAACTGAATATAATAAAGAAATCATCTGCGAGATAGTATAATGATGCTAATCCAATTGAACTCTGTCTTTTAGTATTTTCGATAGAAAGGCACGTTCGTGAATAATCAAACGCAGAATTATTTCGAACAAAAACTATTTGGGATAATGATTTGTGTCATCTCGATGTGTTGTACCATGTCGACGCGAATGACATCAGCGCCAAAGTCTGCGAGAATCATTCCGCAAAACGGAGCTGGCGCTAAACCAGCTAATTCCAAAACTCGAATTCCACGGAGAGCCATGTCGTATACTAAAACCACTTTTCACTATAGTGTCAAATCAAGAAAATGAACGATACTTCAATTATGGATCAAATGCTGGAAAGAAACGAGTAGTTAATAAGTTGTATCCCTATAGCTGATAACGATTCATTTGGCTTGCCAAATTTAGTGGTCTGAGTTCATTCCACGACTTCAATAATATTTTTGCACTAACGAGTAACTGGTCTCTTTCTATTGCTTCCTATGATTTTGTTGCAGGTTTGGAACTTGTTCGTAAAAAGAGCCACAAATTGACCAAAGGCCAAGTTTTAGGTCTGCAACTATTCCACCTGATTAGCCTGAATAGTAATGCCAATCATTGCGTAAATCATACTACACCTAACACGTTACAGTACACGAAATTTAAACAGCATTAGAACTTAACGGTATCATATCTTCAAACTTTTCGCCGTTGTAGACACTCGCCTTAGAGACGCACACGACATTGCACGAAGCCACACTACTTCAAAGCTGAGTATTAGGGTCGCAAACAATGGCGGCCAAGGGAAACGATCACGATAACAGGTGGCGCGTTTGATTGCCCGAGCAGAGTGAACGGACAGAGATATTGACTCCCGGAAAAGAAATACTGCGTACATAAAAACGTATATTATACGTTATAATACATACAAACGACCCTGCATTGGTTTTCTTGAACCGAAATAAGATCCGATCGGCATCGAAATGTAGAATTAGCTTAAATTCGTTAGAACAAAGTGTTTCTTTTCAGTTGGTAGTGAATCTAACCAAGCATTTCATGACTAACTCTCATATTTTAAAACATATCTATACAAATAGAAGGCATAATACTGAGATCGTTTTTGCCAACCGGCCCTTCTGGACGCAAGGTACAATCCCTGTGTTTGTTGATATGTTCCTGGAAATGTGTCGTAACATATGCGTAAAATCTGCATAATCCGAAGGGTACGGAAAATCTCATTGATTTACTCTATGACATGCATATGTTTTTATTTTCTTTAGCTGATCAAACGATTTATCATTAACAGATTTCATATTACTCAGGAAATACGTAACATTCTTTATTTTGCTACTTATGCGTCGGAGTCGAAAAGGTATTTAGGGTGACCACTGAGCGATTAAGCGACAACGTTTTTTTCAATAAACAGAAACTTCCGTGGTGCAATCGATGAGTATTGAAATCAAACTTGATCTAACGGTACTTATGGTAGCAATTGGGTAAAAATACCCCTTGACTTGAAATATATCCGAGGCGAGTTTGCGTTGCCTAGACACTGGCCACGTTTTTAAATACCCTTGAAAATTTCTGACAGACTGGAAGGCCGAAAACAAAATCTGCGAAGCTCTCCGAAGAGACATATACACCATATACTCTATGAAATTTTCAAGGCTACAATATAGCAAGGGTAAAGAATGCATAGTTGGTTTAGCTAACACAGGGAAAATGTACTAGAGGAGAGCCTGATAGTTGTTTAACTATTCGATAACATAGTAAATGTCGACTAATTTACTGTATTTTAATATTAGCTGCGTTTTGCTGACTCGTCAGATGAAAAGCAGTAAACGGGCAATCAGTAGACTGACAAGTGACCGGGTTCCTGACGAACAGAAGTTTAAGATCGTTGACTGATCCTATCCGAAACTGATTTACTCGCCAAGTTATCATATTTATCAGACCAACATTTTTTACCAACTTCTCGACTATATCGAATAGTCAATCCAGTCAATTTTCCAAATACTGCTTACGTGCCTCTGTTATAGCTTCGGAGCTGAGCTCTGCCTCTATCCATATCTAGTCGTCATCCACAGAACTCAGCTGGTCGAAGAGTAGCAGTGATATTTGTTGTGATGTCTTGCCTTTTGTGGACTGAGCGGTCGTAGATCGACCCCAGAATAGAAAGCGATTAGATAGGCCACGCCAGACCATTTGACAAAACGGACCAGCTGATTTTCTTAGAGAAGCTGACTTGTATTTCATGAATTGATACCTGTTGGAAATTTTTGTGTTAACAAATAACTTCACGTTCTATTCACGTGAAGTGATTCTGGACAATGGTGATCTTTTTTTTGACTAACGTTTCCTTGAGTGCAAAATCTTCGATTTCTGTGTACGCAACGTGTGACGAAATAGCGCGCCTGCTTATACGCTTAGAACTACGCGGGGTGCGTATCTTGTGCCATTAGCGGTATCGAATTGGCGTGTGGGCTGCGCATATGCACATATTTTTCAGAGGGTTCGGATCTTGTTATGCTTGTCAGAACAGCGTTGTCGCCCGAGTGTTCAGAAACGGCGCCTGCGACCGGTACAACGAAGTGACGTGCTTGTTTTATGTGAAGTGACTTGAATTCGTTTTGAGAGCTGAGAAAATTGAAAATAAAGCCCTCCGACATGTTTTTGTCGGCAGATCGCCAGAAACAGAAAGAGCTACAGGCAAAGATCGTCGAGCAGGCAGAAAAGATTCAACGTTATGAAACTAAACTTAGCGGTGAGCAAACTCTACAAGCATGACAAATCGAACTACTATGCAATTACGTAGAGATTTATACAGTAACCACGATGCTTAGGAGAGCGATCACACTGGCATTAACATAGATTCTAGAGGTACCACAGGAGACGAATAGCGCTTCGAAAGGTTATTCGCTAGAATTTAGCTTAAACAAAACGCTTTTATAGGTGCTTCTGCCCTATGCGAGGTTCTGCATAGACTGTTAAATCGACGTTGTTTGTAGTTACGGCCTAGAAAACACTGATTTACTGTTAGAATGCAATAAGCTCTTTTGCATTATTGAAGCAACTTTGATGATGCTGATTTTTCGGAACTCTCGCCTTACTTATATTACTTGTTAAGAGAAAGTTCTCTACAGCTGAAACGACGATCAGCAAGAAGCTGCGTTATCAAGCTGAGCCTACAAATGAATCCACAAATAACTATTTGTCCGCTAACTAATTTTTTCCGCATACACTATTCAAACCTTCATTAATATACTCTTATAGGCACGTTGCGTAATACTAATTATCGCAGTACTCTTGCCCTTTTTATAATTATTTCGTTCTTTATAGTGATGCCCTGCTTACACTGAGACACATATCCTACTACAGTCATAATATCAATGAATTTAATGTCACACTTACCATAATATCTGCTCGATTACCAACGTATATTGGTCTATTTAACTATGTACGCTTCTTCGATTACCTTGTCCGGATAACTAGAAGCATTCAAGCTCAGGAGATTTACAGAACGGACCGAAAAAAATTCAGAAAATATTCAACCCATCACCAATATCTGGCGCTCATCTCGCCCTAAAATGTGACTCTATCAAGTAAAAGCTCAAATCAAAGGAGCTGCTCTTCGGAGACTATTTTAGGTAAACAAACCAATACTTCTACAATTTCGAATCTACAAATCTGACTCGTTAGCCCAGCCTCGTAGACTATAGCTTGATTACATACAAAGAGAACTGCGTTTCCTGTTGTTTTAGGACAGCTGCTACTGCTGCCATAAAGTTGACCAGTATTAAACCTAACCTAATATCCCGTTGCAGTAATTAACTAATTTCCCTAATGTAGTCAAGTCAATCATTTATTCAACAATAATATTGTTCCAGTAATTAGCTACCTCCAACCGAACCTAGGAGGCATTTGGATGTACTAATCCCGACCCGTGTTCTCCTAGGAAACGGCCTTAATTTAAAAAAACATCAAATACAAATCCAAACATATTTCAATACGGCTATAAGTGTGAAGTCCCATGCGAACTATTAGTACGTCGTTTACACTTTACATTACTCAGCCTGATTTAACTATACAGTTTTTTTCTTACCATTCTATTACCCTGCTCGTAGCAACTCAGTTCTTCTGCTAGGAACCTCCTTGTAGTCCTGACACCCTATACTCATCTCGCTTTCTTATTGTTTCTTATTCCATTTTTAAATTGCATATCGACGGACTCTCGCAACCCTGTGTGGAATTACCCTTTGACATACAGATCGTAAAAATGTGTAAAATTAAAAATTTTGGAAATTATCGTTTCATATGTATTTGAGTAGGACTCAGAAAACTGAGCGAGTTTTGAGTACGTACCGGTCACATATTGTTAGTCGTTTTGGAAGAAAATTACCTGAAAAGATCAAATATACATAAAATTGCTAACACTCAGTATAATGGAAAGAACTTGTATGTTGAAAAGGCATCCAGTTACTAAAATATAACACACAGTTCGCAGCACTATGAAATTTATTCATGATCACTTTACGAAAACCCCATTCCTGGGAAAAATCAGACGTTCATTACTAAACAAATATCTGGATAGACGCATTTTTGTTGTAACTCTATTTTATTTAAGAGACTATATTGAGTTTGCTGTAGTTGTCAACCCGTGAGGGTTTATACCTTCTGCTAAGCGTTATTTGTTGTAGTCTTCCAGTAGTGACTTCGGGGAGGAGTTCATTTGATATACACTAGTAGAATCGCTAGTGGAGAATATTTACCTTTATTTACTTAGCGTTCATATAAATAATAGGGTCAAGAAAAAGTGTGCATATATACGAGCACACATATGTGTAATGAACGGTTGTTATTTTCATATTCATGTTTTGTTTTGATGATGATGAATGATTTTTGTTGTCTTAGATCTAGTGAAGGCGTATAAGCGTCTGCAAGCTGAGAGAAATACATTAGACGAAACAATACGAGTGCTAGCGTCGGATAGAGACGATTATAGCAGAGGCACCCGCCAGGAGTTAACAGCTTCGAGAACAACACAGGGAGGGTACCAGCTCTCGGCTGCAACCTTGGACCAGCAACACTCAGGAGATGGTAAGATTGCCAACCTTGTGCCTCCATAAATTCGCAACATGGCAATTTGCCTCAAGCCCTATACGTGATACTGCATGAGAATATACTTACGTCTCAGGTAAAATAAAGGAAAAAAATTTGTCAAGGTAAATTCCAGTCAGTATCATTGTTGTTTCTTATCGTATTTTACAGGACCAGGAAGTGGATTGGCATCCGAGGAAGGTTTCGACGACGCTTTTCAGGGGAAAATATCGGTTCTCACTAACGCCTTGGCCACTCTTCGAGTGGAGAAAACCCACTCCGAACAAGCGTACCATGCTGACAAGAAAAAATTGTTACAGGTAGCGCAACGATAACAGCAACAAACTATCGGTCCCTGTATAGGAAAGCAAAACCTCGTATGCAGATATAATAGTCGCGGTGCCTATGTATCTGTTTGTTTTTCATAACTGATTATTGCTAATTTGGTTATGGTAAGCGTTAGTACAAGGCTGCATGTCGCATGAATCTGACGCTTGTTACTTCAGAAACTCTGACCCAACAAGCTCGAATAGCTCTAACAGAAAAATAGATTTGTACATACAAATTACTTTTAAAGCGAGATTAAGCAATTTTCACACAATTCTGTAAAAATTCTAAGTCAACCATTGATGGCATTAGAAATACCTTGACCTAGAAATACAACTTGATCCTCAAAAAACGTACATATCAATGGATACTGTTTCGCACTGATTTATTTTCAAACCATTGCAGTGAGAACCGTATCGTTAATTTGTAGAAGTATATTTCTAAAGTGATCTATAGTATCCCCATTTACAGCAAAGTTATGTCTGGCAATGCGAATAGATCGCTGAGATTATCGTGCAGCGTTTCAGTGCAACGTCATCTTTTACATATTACGTGCAAAATACCTGAGACTTCACTATTACGTGTCAGCGTTACCTAGGGCTCAAAAACCAGTTTGCAGGGCCTATGGACACTATATCTAGTTCCGATTGACCGACGATCACTCCTTTACTTTTACTTACCTAATATTGACTTAACAGGAGAAACTCGAGTTGACGAAAATGGTTGAGACTCTAAAGAAAGACTTAGATGAAAAGCAGCAAATCTTGCAACAGGTAAACGCATTTTTTATACTTTTCAAAAAATACTAAAGCTTAAAATTATTGCTAGGGAACTCGGTATGTTATGTCAATTCGTAGAACACACCAAGTACTCAAAGTCCAGGAAAGCTATTTGTATAATTTATGCTATCAGTTAATTATTTTTTATTTCGAATGTAGATTCGTAGACATACGTATTTTCCGGTGTGTATTAGCATTGTGTATCCCGATTGAATATATTTACATTCATTTTATAAAAAATTGTTTTTACGTCCCGTTTGGTTAGCTCAAATATGTTTGTTGGATATTTGGGTTTAGTATGAAAACGCGGCGCTAGGTATGATCACAGAATCGATGTAGACATTTTCTGCTTCTTTGTAAATTCTGCTTCACAAGCCACTTCTTTTGGCACGAACATTTTGTCGCTTGTTGTTTCAAGCCCTCATCAGTAACGATATCCCTTTACAAATCAGACGCAGGCAAAATTGTCGGATGAGAAACAGTATCGGGAAAAGGAAGCTGCGGACAATTTAGCGATGATGAAAGAGCTTCAGAGTAAACTTACGGATGAGCGGAATGCCAGGTTTGTATCAGGGTACTTTTAGGGTAAGAAACGTTAAACGTACACATTTAAATATCTGTATGCATTAGGAAATGTTGCCGATTAGTTTAAAAGAAAGACTCCGATCTATTATGGGATCCTTTCTGCCGTTTCAGGGAGATTGTTTACAAAGACACCGTAAATAAGTGGGAGCAAAGATGCCATGCGCTCGAAGCTCAAATCGATCTTCTGAAAGACATCGAAGAAGAACGCCGTGAGAGTGACGTCGAACGAGATGTCGGACGAAAACGCGATGCTCAAAGAGACGATGGTATGAAATTAGCGCAAAAACGCAAGTGTGTTTGCATTGAATGTTGACCCGACTATCGGTAGAAGGGTCCATGGTAAAGTACAATTTTTTCTAGCGCTTAGATTTCTAGTTTGCTGATGTTTAAGCGACTGGAGTGAAAAAGACGGAAAGATAATTTTGTTGATCTTTTATTGTGATTTTTCTGACGTCGACTATGCAGAAGTGATGCGCGAGTTAGAAGCTCGAGCGGCAAAAGACGCTGCTCGAGCGAATCTGGCTGACGAAAAACTAAATCACTTGCAGACTGTGACTGAAACGCGAATTGCTCAACTTGAAGCCCAGGTGTGTATCACAGTAAACAAGGCTTGCATGTTTTGGCCGTTCACAGAAACGCATAAGTGTATAAGAGCTGTACACTAAAGATGACAAACCGGTTTCTGCACAGGTAGAAGAACTTAGCAGCAGTGTGGCATTGTACGACCGAACCCAGCAGCAGTCACAGAATTTAATTCAAAGTTTAAAAGAGGAACTTGCGCGAACGGTGGCACAGAGCAGAATGGCCGCTATATATTCTACCATAGGTCTGTACATAGTGAACTACAAAATGAAGAGGTTCTATTTACAGTAAGAAATTGAGTTTATGTACTAATTGATACAGAAACGAAGTACTCCTGTTAATTGGTCACACATATATCGATTCAATGTGATTGATTTGCTATTAATTATAGATGAGGAATCGAATCACGATATTAGCTCGCTGTTGAGCAGCGTGGGCCGCTCATTGGCGATGCTTGCAAGCGCGAATCAACGTTCCCAAGAGTCAGTGGCAGATCTGGCGCTCGAAATCAATCGTATCTTAAGCAAACACAACTTTGATGTGCATAAAAGGTGTGCACAAGATGTGCTCGACATCAAACAGGTGCTGAGCGAAGTTCTATTCACTTAAATTCGACCTTGACAGGCATTGATGTACATTTAACGACGATTAAGTTAATACCGTGATTCAACACGGAATAAAATGCTATGTTCCTAATTTTTAACGTTGGATACTAATAAGCAGTTTATATAGCGGATTGCAGGGCCCTATACAATGTTGTGTACTGGCTCTTTAGAACGGGCACATGGACAATTCTTGTATACCAGAAAACCATTCGGTTTGATTTTCATAGACGAATGTTAAGATTTGACCTATTCCTACCAGCTATTTTCGAAAGCTATTTGGTCAGCTGGCTAGCTCAACGTGTGTTTTTTTCTAGTATGTCATCGCCTTTGGTCCGCTTGGCAGGAATTCGAAAGCTATAAGGAGCTCCACGCAGCGTCTTATTCGAAATCGTCTCATAGACTGTCTCGCACCGACTCGGAAGAATCCGACAAGGTGACGCGGCTGACGGCGCAGCTTCTTGCGAAAAAGCAAGAGTACAACGGAAATATCGCCGCACTCAACCAGACGATTCGTGAGCTGCAAATGTCGATCGCTGATCTGAAAACGAAACACCGCCAGGAGTTGGCACAGGTTCGTGGAGCAGCATATAAAACAATAACCACATGAAAAAATATACAAGCAACAAACTTTATTAGTAATAAATTTCTTGAAAGCAATGTAATTTATCTATTGTGCCTCTTCTGATTCCTGATCACTGATTTTGATTAGGTCGAGTCCAGTTGGCGGTCCCGATTAGCAGCATCCGAAGAGAGTATGGCCCGTCAACGCGAACGAAGTATGCAACTGTTATCAGATCGAGAACGGGAACGCGATGATGAGTCAGACACCGCCGCTGGACTTCTACGCAGTACAAGCGGTAACGTTCAAGCTGGCCACGGACCACATACTAATTCGATTGGCAGCGGTAATCCACAGCAGGCTGCCCAGCTCCTAGCTACACTATCGAAGGTTAGGGGGCCTGTTTCGATCGTTTATTAGTAGTATTTCAATAATGAAAAATTAAATTTGGCATAGAAAGTTGCGCGTCTTGTCAAGCTTAGTTTGACATATCGAAGTGCCATCCCTGGCAAAAAAAAGTTTCCTGGAGAGTACGCTATCGTTTCCTTATATGTCCTTCGTGGTGTTTTTCGAGTTTATAGGTTTTTCAAGAGTTTGCTGTCGAGCCCAGTCAGCACAATTTCAGTGGACTACAGACATATAGGGTGGTCTTGCACGTGGAAATATTACGTACGTAGTACACTTACATACTTCATGTTCTCTGTTTTATTGATTTCAATGAACAACAATATAGCAGCAACGGCAGCACGAACTTCGGAGAGAAGGATTTGTATCATCGAAGACGTCAGATGAGGATTCCATGTTAGCCGAACTGTTCAGTCTGTCAAAGTCAACCGCTCTAGGCGCCGGCAGCGCCGGCAAAATAGAGATGCTCCATTATACGCACGAGATTGCTCGAAAAACAGCGGAAATTCAACAGCTGGTACGTCTGGTCATGCAAGTCGGACTTGCCTACACAAATGTTACTGTATATTCACGTTTCATGTGAAATGTGAATGAAAATTACATTAGGCAAGTCGTCTGCTATTCGTTATTGTTGCCACAATTCCATTACTCCGTTTTTGTGCACTAGACTGTCATCGTTCAGCATCAATGCTTGCTCGATGGGTGACGTTTGTTTAACGTTGGATCGTTTAGGGGATAATATTTTAAGATAACTGTGCATGTGAACTTCTCTGCGTGGTTCGTTTCGCATGTATGCAGATCAAGGATAAGAAAGAGACAGAAATGAAGTTGTATCAACAGTCAACGTCTTTCGGTGATCGGGAACGAATCCTGCGCGCTGAGGTCGAAGCTCTTACCCGAACCATAGAGCTACAGAAGAGCTGTTCTACTCTTAAAGAGCTCGAGAAGCCATACTTGAAGAATGTCATCCTGCAGTATATGCTTTGCCCCAGCTCGGGACCCCGACTCCACATGGTCAAGGCAATTTCCACGGCATTGGATTTCACCAACGAGGAAGAAGAACAGGTGAAACAGGCCCTTCAGCGAAAAAGGATACTTAGCGGATGAAAGTAACTTGTATACAAATTCGTTTGAAAGCAGCTTACATAGTTCTAACGCACGTTAGCATCGATCGTACCGATATCCCTACAGTTGCTTGTAACGAGACGCGTAGAACGTCTTAACGAGTACGGAGGGCCGCTTCTGCAACTGTTACATTGTATAGATAGTATGTTGAAAGTAGACGTGCCACAAAAAAGTTCAACGATACCAATTAACGCTGTAAGACCTAGGCAAGTCGAGGGTTGTCGTAACATCATCCTACAGAGGACTGCACACTTCTGGGTAATACTAGATGACTATAATATCTACTAATTAGCAAAAAAAAAAACTGGGATCTTGATTTTACAGCATCGGTCATCTCGAATGCTAATAAGATCGTTTTATGTGTCTTTTCTTTCTCTTATTGTAAACATCTAACCACGAATTGCCACGATGGTCTCGACTGTAGCTAATGTATTGTTTACTGGGGGGGTATAGGAGATAGAACATGTTACCGTAGTAGTTATCACATAAGTGATGACTGTATCCTGTAACGCAGTTGAAAATTTCTCGGCAAAATCGTTTTTTATAATATTGATACGTCTGGTAATTTATACGAACTGTGCTTGATATCATTCAGTATGATCACTCTAATAATTCCCCTTAGCGGAAGATTTTGCAGTGGTTCATTGCGAGCATCCCCTCATGTGTTCGGTGAGAAATGTGACTAAATTCGATGCACAGCTCTTTTAAGATGCGACAAGTAAAAAATACTGATCACGTCTTGGAAAGACGTCTCGTTTGATTTGCCTATCTGCATTATTTGCCTATACTGCCTATTTGCATTGGTATTTGCTGTACGTCTTCCTCAGGGCAAAAATTTCCGATAATAAAGGCTTCGCTATTGTCTATCTATCATTTCGTTCCAACTATTAGAAGATGCGGATTTACGAAAAGAGTCCAACGATTATCTCACATCTTTGCCATTTACCTAATAACTATGCACAGTTTATAATGTCACCAATTTGTGAACTCGCATGTATATGTCGCATTACGGGTGCCTGTACATGTGTATTCTGTAAATATATTTTTCTAATACAAATGTCATTTCTAGAGCGGGCTGCAGTCCCTCATGGAGCTCACTGAGAACTTCATGGCAAACAATTATCGGCATCGTATTGAACGTTTTCGCACCAGTAATCTGCCGGCCTATCTCTATGAGGTGCTAATACGTGAAAAACAGATCGTCGAACAGAGAACATATCCAATATACAAGCTTATATTAGACAAACAATTTATACATTAATGTGTCAGCGACTACGAAATTTCAGCAGATATTTGCGGACTAAATAAAAAAAATTGCATAATATAGAACAAGTTGTCTTCATCTGACAATGCTCCGCTCATCAGCAAAAAGTAGCCACAACATTTATCCTATTTAGCAAGATGACTTCATCTTAATTTAGTTCTATATTCAAAACGAGTATTATCAGGAATAAATACAACCGGGGCGGGGGGTGAAGTTATTTAGCAGTAAACAGAAATTTATAGGCAGCGCCGAAAATGATGATTACACTAGCTGGAGCAAAAAAGCTAGCTGAAGCTTTTAGAGTGGCTCTTCTGTCTTATCTATTGTATTCTTCATCTTTACAGACTAGATGTTATTGTTAATTCGTCCATATTTTAGGTACACCGCACGATAAAAGAGAGCGACTGCCGGAGTCAGCCCAAGTTTCATATGACATCCGGGTAGCTGTTATTTTTAGTATAGAAAGAGGTCATTTTGTCGCCTATTCTCTTTTATGATGAAACTATAATCGTCGTCCTTGAACAGTGAAGGATAGTGCTGCTGTTGCATGATTTGCGAGTTCAGCTAATTTTAGCAATTAACTCTGTCGATAACGTTTGTGGAAATACGTTCCTGATAACGCCGGGTGATTTGATCAATTTTTTGTTCAAACCTGCTACTCTGCTCGCAATGTTGGCCGATCGACAGTAGCATTGTACACGACCTCACAGGCACCATAGTTATATTTTCCTGTCGCAAAAAGGTTTGCCCCTTGGTTAGAAATGGAAGTTTCAACTTTATATTACCGATTTAAACGTCTTTTATGCTTTTTCAAATCGTTGTCCATCTAACCTTTCGATTCTTTGTAGACAAGGTGAAACACTTTCGCCATAATTCAATCCATGCTTAAATTCATCTTTGATTACTATTCTGACATGAAAAATATCAAGCTCCACTATTTTCAAGCTTGTGAAACGAGATTTGGAGAGGGATAGCTTCAAATAAGATCTCACAGGTATTGCTGATCATAGTGATATGTTCTTAGCACGCAAATAAATAGCCGGCATTTTATCACTAAGTTATAAATATCTAACATGTACGCATAAAAACCGTCTAGCCGTTAGGGTCTTACGTGACGATTAGATCAATTTTGTCTGTTTTCATTGGACATCAGCGTATAAACCTACTGTTGAATTTGTTTGTCCTTAAGTTATAGTGTGTAGTAAGTGTAGTGGCCTCACGGGTAATCTGCAGTTGATTTTCACTTTACTATAATCGAAGCAAACCGAGTGTTCCAGACGTAGCCAAATGTGCAAGTAATGTCACAGAAATTATGTTTTTCGTTAATTTTAAAAAACATCCGTGCCACTAACCTGGCTTTTATGAACGATTAATCCGTGTAGCACTAGCCTCAGTTTAACTAGTCTGTAGTCGGGCTCTCCACTATGTAAAAGCCTTACACCACGCACTTTCAGCCCACTTTTGATCACCTGTTGCAACAGCTCGTCCCCTGACAGGCCGACGCAGGCAGATAGAGCAATCGAAGGGACAAACATACCGTAATCAGGCAGACGGATTGATAGGTCGTCAAGGATTCCTATGTTAGTGCATATAGGAGTTTTTTTAGGTTGACTCAGTGATATGGTATCCTCGTTACCGTCCATTGACGGTTTGAGTCGTGTGGTTCCAATGTTGGCTTGACGTTTCGCGTTGTTCTTGAACGTGTTGGTACAGTCTTCGAGGAGTTCTTCCAGCAAGGTCTGCCTCAATCCTTGGATGCCTTGATCTTTAGTTCCGGGCGCTGTCGACGAGCTTCTGTCTGTGGCGCCGCTAATTCTCTCACGTATTGGTGTCCTAGCATTGCAGGGTTCAAAAGCAAACGTTAGAATCACTGGTTTTTTCGCCAAAATCATTAACCTAAAAGCGGCGCTTACGAAACTGATATTGAGTAAAAAGATCCTCGAAGTCTCCTGAGAAAATTGCATGTGACTCCACCTTTTTAGTTGAAACTATGAGCTAACTAGAAAAAGCGAGATACAGACTTCAAAAAAGCCATTTATTTAAGTGCTAGGCTGCTACGAACAAATACTATAGACTACAAAATTAAATCACTTTTAATTAGCTGGGCAAAAATAGCGATTTTGTAATGTGTTATCGGTACACCTTGTTTTTTACACACTTGTCTCAGCACTCTGGCAGTGTTTAGACAACCATAAACCTATCATTCGCGTTCCTATTTGTAATTTCTCTACTTATGACATGTCGAAGTAAATCGATAGTGGGATACGCTTTCTTTTACTGGGTAGGGAAAGTCTCGTTATGATGCGTACTTGGACCGGGAAATAAGCAGGTTGAAACCTCAATTTTGCTCTACCCAGAAAGTAATTGATGAGGTCTGGCGTTGTTCTCAACTAACTAGCCAGACTGTAAACTTGAACTGTTATTTTTATTTCAACACTATGCGTTTTTTTGAAGAAGTCGAAATAACGGGTGTTGTAACATTGTTTAATTTTCGTATCTTATAGTATCAGATGCCCCTTATGTCCATTGCAAATATCAGTACCACCTTAGGTTCGGACCTATTTGTCACTGCTAGAAAACGCTTAATAGCAGATACGTAAAATAATACGTAATTATGGCGATTATATGCTCCAGGCGAATATTTCCTTAAACGCTGTGTAAATTACAGTAAATTATGTGGAATACTAGTTCTGATAGTAGCTGACAGTCGGACTCAGCTTTCGTGAAGACATTTTTCAATTGCGACAACATTTGACCACTTACTCGCTGATCTCTAACACTCCAGTCCCCATACTTAAAACGCTTACACAACCAATCTTTGATGAAGTTTCGGATCATTGTAGCACTTGATAAACAAAGGCTTAGCCACTGAACGTTCACCTTCTAGACCCAAAAATGTGTATTCCTCTCTCATTTTTTCCAGTAAAAGCAGCCAGTTTTCACTCATCGTTTTCTAGAAGGCCGGAGTATTTACCAAGCAAATTTGGTCGACAAACGGCGCAAAGCTCAAGAGTCATCTAATTCAAAAGTTTGTCGAATTTGACTCTATCGACTAAATATATTATTCGTTTGACTGATGCTCACTACTATTAGCACCTGCCGTTTTAATCAAAAAAGGCTCCCTAATATTCACCATAATACACACCTGGTCATGTGATATGGGCTTCTTGTTGTGCTTGCTCCGTTTTCCGTTTCCACAGAGATGCTTTGGACATTCGACTGACCTGGCGCAGGCTGGCTTTCTGCTGGGTAAACCCAAGGGGTCGAACCATGGTACTCAATTCTGAAGACATTTTCCAAGGCAGTAATCATTGATTGCGGGGAAATAAATCCATATTATTTGTATTCCAGAGGAGCTGTACTTAACTCTTCGAAATGTCTTAAGAAATCATTAAGATCAACTCCGTTTTTAAAACGTGAAATTAACCTTTTTAGATAGGCCTGGAAGCGCAAAGGTACTTTCATACAATCCATTTTAAGTGATTCTCAGAGAGCAAAACGTCAAGGGTCTTCCGGTCGTTTTGCACAGATCAACAAGTCGTCACGTATAACGTAAAGCAGGCCGGTGTTGCGACCACCCTGTGGACAGTGCTTGAATTTATAGAAATAGTTATGTTACCTCACCTGCCAGCAAATCTAAGAACCATAAACACATGAGGAAAACTATGTGAAAGCGTATTAAGCCTTTACCTTAGTTGTTGCGAAAATATAAGTATCTCGAAAGCCGGACGGCGGTACCCATCAAAACAGTTTTTGTCTGAACGTCGTAGCATGCACCCGTTATTTCTTGGGACACAATATAATACTCGATAATTTCCCTATACCACAAACTGGGTTTATCATGCCAGCAACTTCTTTATGTCTCTATTTTTTTAGTTAGAAGCAAGTGGCAGTTGACAAAATCACACAACGCGTGCATTTGACAATATTTGTAAACATTGTTTTTTTGCGGAAAAAATGGTAAGCGTCTTACTAGTAGGAATGGTTACTATTAATCGAAACGAATTCTTGAGAACTGGTAGAGAGCGTAAATCGAGATTAGGATTAGCGTCAGGTTGTATGGCGTGACAAAGCGTTCACGTGCTTTGCTAGATACGGCGGTCACAAAAGAAGAGTGCTTTAATAAGCCTGTAATTGTAACTCAAACGACGTTTGCTAAACACAGTTTTATGCATAGATTCTTTACCAAGGACGATTTGAAACATGGAACGCACTGTCAGCCAACTCATACAGAGGCTAAAGAAGAAGATATTTAGTACTGCAGATCATATCTGTAACCTGACATTATAAAATTCTTTGAGAACCTAGTCGACGGACTCTTGTTTTCTCTTAAACTTAATGCTACCAGGACACTCGATACTGTGTTATCGCCATCGTTCTGCCAAAGTAAAGTTTGTTTCTAACCGTATGGGCGTCTTTGAAGTCTCTCGAATGTGTAGTGACGTTGAAAAGTGTCGACCTTTGCAAAAAAATAAGGTACTTTACTAAGTAGTTGGCTATACCTGCTATATATGACAAACACTGTGCAATGAACTATTTTCTATTTTTCGATATAAATTAGTGTAACCTTGATAGTCAGTACGATCGCTTCTTTCAAACAAAGGTTCTTTGGTCATTTTGATGGACAACACGACGTCATAAACGGCAGGTAATAAATAAGGTGTTCGCAAAAGGGCTGCTTACGGATCTGTGCATATTGGATTGAAGTCAAAGTCGATATGTCGTCTCAAGCACCCGTTGTAGGGGCGTAGAACAGATTCAGAAAACCTCCTCGTCTAAATATAACCATCGCTACGATGTAAAATCACCGCTCTAAAGGCAAGCAACTTTCAATGAATGCGCCCCTGGGGTTCATCAGCCAAAAAGGTGGCGGCGACTGTTTTTTTAGCTTGCACATAAAACACTGCCTAAATGTACCAGTAAAAGAGTAATGAAGAGTATAATGCCATCATTTAGAGTCATTTAAATTAAACTATTCGCAGGAAATAATCCCGTTTGAACAAAAAAATGCGCCTCCAACAGGCCGATTTTATACTCTATAAATTGATTGCTTTCTATAATTGAAAAGCAAGAAGAACTAGGAAAATAGAAAAGTTGGGGGAAGCGTGCGCGGCAAACTGGTAGTTCTAGGGTCGATAGACAAATAACGCTTTAAAGATGAAAAGGCCTATTCAAGGACCACTGGAAGGTGGTTGTAGGTCCCGATATCGACAATAGTAAAATGAGCATTTTGTATCAAGTGAGCAATAGACATGTCGTACTGAATGGTAACCGAGATTATTTCTGGCAATTCTCGGTAAGAATTGTTACCGAGAACCTGACTAAAGCAGTATATTTTTAACCAAAGCACCCCACTAACCTCCTTGATTTATCTTTGAGACCACAATTTAACAGAATATAGAATCCACAGTGTGAGCGGGGTAGGTTTCCAAAATAAGCACAAACAAATAATGTACAGAAGGATCGGACAAAAGCCGTTTAATATTTTCTTGTTCATATACGATCTATATGTTTGCCAGCTGAATTTACCTGTAACATTTATGAGGATTTGAATGAATGGATGATCACTTTTTGCGCTCTCACGGTTTTGCGCAGAGATCGCATTGAGCTGAACACCGTGTTGTCCCTATCGAAGCTGGTCTGATTTCACTAATAAATTTTGGATTTAGGAATGAATTTTAAAAACCACTAAAATAAGCCTAAAAAGAACTACTAGCAATATGTTTTTATACGCACTTGTTTCGTATGTTTTTCGCACAAAATATTTCGTACCTAGAAGAAGTGAAAATCTTGCTATGACAGACAGGCAGCCGACGCTAATTGACGGTCATTTGATTCCATGATTGCGTCACCGTCAGTATTGCATAGCTATAGTAGAGCATTATAATGCATGCTAGATAATATGCAAGTTAAGTTTAAAATGTTGTTAACTTGAAATAAATTACGGTTTAAAGTCATATCCGGCTAGTTGAGATTTTTTTAGGACCGACGTTTATTGTCCTCTTGGATTGTTATCATCGACATTATTCTTCCTATCCGCAATATTGGCTCTCGATAAATTCGAAATGTTTCTGCACGAATAGAGAGGATATTTTATCGAGCGAGCTTAAGGAAAATAAAAACAAATATATATGTCTTTTGATATGCATTGTTGTCTCCTTAAGAATCTAATGTTAGACTATAACTGCCACACAGTGTTACTTGATTTTCTCGATTGCCAGCCTATTACCCTATCATAGTTCAACAGCAGAAAAACTATAAGCTCGCACTCGATATCCTGCAGGACTCTCGCCATTGTAGCAGCTGCAACGTCATCTGAACCCATTACTGCGCCCCACCATAATGATCCTATTAAAGCATCATTTTCTTATCTTTACTCACTTCGCCATTAAATCTAAATAAAATAGCCTATTACTGTTATTATCGTTGCGATAAGTATAGCTAGCGTAGTAATAGCAGAGACCATAAGACGTAGAAGTACCGAAGATGGGGTTACTTTTGGCTTGTTGTTGAAACGACGATGTTGACAGCTGCCGCCGTCGCCGTCTGCCTCCACAGTCTTCTGCAAGGAGGGCCTCAGAACTGCGGCCCACAGACGGTGGCTGCGTATCAGAGATGCTGGGAGAGCCGGGCCAGGGTGGCAGAATGGACGGTCAGCGGCGCTAACGTTGTACTGCTACATTTCCGTCGATCCGAAATTCTCATTCGCCGGCGCGGCGACATTCATTGTCGTTGTTGCTAACGCGATCAGAATCACACGTATTATGGGAAATGGATTGGCGTCCGAATGGCGCCTGCTGGTTCGAGGCAAACGGGGTGATCCGGGTTACATTGAATATTATAGTCAGAAAGCTAATTCGGAGTTCTTGGTAGGAAGAACTATAATTCTTGATGGTTCCGTTTTATTTTGTTCTTCCGAATCTATTCCAGAGTAACTGAGTGGAACTAACTGTTATAGTGAGCGACATACAAGTTTCTTAGAAGTCCCATGTTTTGTTTACTTTCTCGCTGTTGTAATACAATATTGTAGGTTGTTAAATGTCTCTTCTAGTTGTTCTGCTAATACAAAATAGCGTCGAACTTTTTTAGGCTAAAGATAGGTTATATGCGGCACGTCTGCGAACGCAGTTTATAAGCGCTTTACGGCCTAGTGCATTCAGCGTGGCGAAACATGTATGGAGGCCTTATCTATTCTACTGTTTGTGTTGGTTTTATGTTATCCCTTATTTGGAAAAATGAATACATACTGAAATTTTGAGAACGACTTTGTTAGAGACACTTCATTTTGGGTACCTATATATAATCGGCTTACCATTTTGCTTATGTATAAACGGTCGGTGCTACTGCCAGCCTGCCGTAAAACTACGGCAAAGCTATAAGTACGCTCCGAAGTGGCCCGATAGTAAAATGGACAGAGCTAAGCGATTGGAGACATCTTTCTTTTACGTAATACGGCATGAAAATGAACCAAAATGATTCCTGGTCTCGCTTCAGCCTCGACGCCTCGGTGCTGGGAACATCATTGCCACACCTTTCACATTCCCGCGGCTAATCCTGTCTACTTAGTAACAATAAACGAAGCACGTATCAAAACGTGCTTTAGCTCTTGCTGAAGCTACTTTGTTTGTTGAAACCGCAAACATGTTACATCCACAGTAAAAACCCACAAGTCACTTAATAATAACAGCTTTTTTTATTTATCGAATTCGATAATTCACTCACAGACATGTTACGCATTTGCAAGCTATCTCATGTATAGCTCTGCTATTATAGTTGTGCTTCTTCATAAGAATACTGGGCATATTTCGATTAATGTTTGCCGTTAATACACACTTTTCTTTGTTACTGATTAGTGTGCTCTTGTTTTTCTCTGCTACTGCAGTGTTTTTTCTCCTATCCTAACGACGGCGTTACGTGTGATTACCCAGCATAGGTGGCCCGTATATATATATATATAATATTTATGTATTCGACAGTGTTCTGAGGCCGTCACGATTATATCTCATAACCTCTATTCTACGAAATCATTCAGCCTTTGAACCTCAACACCGACGAGTCTGACGTCGTCTGCAAACTGCGTTGTTATTGTTGTTGTTCTGTCGTGCGTTAGTTAATAACGTAGCAATCATACAAACGGGAAATCTGCGAAACGAGCAGACATACGATTCCTATCCAGTTCGTTATCTTTATTATCATATCAGCGCAACAGTGACTTTATTTAATACCGTCTGCCTATTTATAGTATCCGACGCTTGCCAAAAAATCGCGTGTAACATAACGTATGTCAGTTATCCTGTGTGTAAATAGTATTTGTTACTCGATGTAAATATTCTATTCCATACTCAAGTATGAATCAAATAAAAATTTAAAAGCAGTTCATCTGTAAAAGTGTGTTACCTATTTAACGGATAAGACAATGTTAAAGAGATGTGCAAAAAACAAATGTACGGAGTCTCTTATCTACTTAATCACCATCAGCTTGTCCAAGCTAGGTTTAATGTAAATTAGAAGATGATATTTACCCTCTTCTGATTATAAAACGGGTGCAGATATCTCTCGTATAATCGGCCTCGCTTCTATCAAAACGTCCGCGCTATATTACCTAAAGCTATCGTATTATCCTAGTGCTGCATAACAGCTGGTTCGAATATATATCATTTTAATGGTAGGCCAAAATAGCTCATTCTCTCTTAGCCTGAAATCGACGAACGTTACAGATTTAGTGACATTCTATACTATAACCTAATTGCTTCTAAAAGTGGCGTCCTGCTATTGAGAGAATGCTATTTTTTCGCCATTTGTCCTCATTCCATTTGCATAGTGACTCGATCGTTTACTTCCAAGTCGTGTTTGCCGTCGTTTCGCTAATATACCGCACGGCAATTATGTTACATCGCCCTAAAAAATGTCCTCCTTGGGTGCGTTTTACGAAGCGAAGTAACGTCTTGTGCTTCTGGAACAGCGTTATACTGCTGCGTCTACGTGCATTATTAGCTGAGTACCACGCCGTCGTATGCCGAACGACGTGGTTTTAATGGGAACTGTTGTTGTTATTGTTGTTGTTGTTGTTGCTGCTGCTGTTGCTGCTGTTGTTGTTACTATTACTGTTGATGTTATGGCTGTTATGATGTCTGCGGAAGAAACTGCCAAACATCCCGATTCGTCGTCTTGAATCCCTATGCGATCCTTGTGAATCGGTCGATATGGCTGACTCAGCCCTTTCGGATCGAAGTGTCGAGGAGGAATGTGACCGCAGACTCTCCGTAGGGTTTATTCCTGTGGGCAAAGATGTTGTGCGACTTAGGTTGGGGTTGGGGTTGCGTTCGTGGTCTTCGTCACTGAAAGCAGCACCTACGTTCCCATACACAGGCTCTTTAGGCGGAAGGTTGCTGAACGCTGGGCGACTGTAGTCTGTAATTTATTCAATTTTTTTTAAAATTTAAAAATTTAATAATTATGTTGCGTTTTATTATTCTAGTCCATATCAATCTGTGTATCTTTTGTACTTTTGAAAAAGCCAATAACTATACGGTGTATGCAGCTATAATTTTTGAGCAAAGTCTTTTTTATCGTTAGCTTGATTATGTGCGGTATTAAAGACTGATTTTTTATAAATAGCTAACCATTACAAATATACTAAATTCACCAAATGAGACCGGCTTTCAACTTCGTGCACGACAGGTCTTGACAAAAGGTCTCTATTGCGAGTCCGCTTACCATCCTCTTGTTGCTGCTGTTGGAACATTTGTATCCTGTCCTGAACGCTTCCGGGGTTATAGGTAGTTGTTGTCGTCCAACAATTACCATTGCCCTCAATGACACACTCGGGCAAAGTTGGTGTCGGGCTGACGCTACCGATTGAGGAGTTTAAGCGAGATTCGAAATTGGTGGGCGTACTTCGTTCGCTACCACTAATCGGCTGTTCAGGTGTGGGCTCCAATGGTGCTCTCATCTGACTCTGATACCCCGTTAATTGTTGCGAAGGGGGTAGTGCTGCGCGATATGCAATCTTATTTACCCATTGCGTTAGTTTTTCATCGCTTTGTGCACTGAACAGGAACTCCGAACCATCCGACAGCGTCAGACGGAAGACGTGCTTGCGCTTCGTGTAATCCGTTGCCTTGATAACATGTGCCTGGATCGATATATTGAAGAGAATAGGTTGGAAGTGAGAACGGTTTTAAATGGGAGACCAGAAATTGTTATAAGAGACTCTCGATATACAATACACGCTTATCAGCACACCTCCCTTATCGCATTTAGGTAAAAATCGCACAGCAAGCAAATAAAACTTCATATAAGGATACACGTAAAAACCATTTGTTTGAGACTAAAATGTGATCATTTACATATCGACACAAGACGTGTCAATAAACCAATTGTTTCCCGTTGCGCATTGCACTTGCGCATACTTGAATGAGCCCCACTGCAAGCAAGTCCAACACTTACGTTGCCCAAGTTAATAGGAGGAATGTTGGTATCCTTCAGCCTTAACGCCTCTTGGTCCTTAAAGAAAGCCAGCATATGTCCACATAGGACAGTGTAGTGCGTTTTCCAGCTGCGTACGGGGGCGCGCTTGCCACCGATCTGCAGTTCGTGTTTACGATCTAATAACCCTTCGATATCACTAGGAGGCAGTTCGGCAGTGCGCTGTGAGATGGTTGAGGTTCGGCGACGCGTAATAAAACTTGGCGCGCGACGGACTACGCTATAGTTCTTTGCGTCTGTCGAGGGCCTCATGCTTTCGACACGACGCAGGCCAATTCTGCTTTCACTTTCCATACTTCGCTGCGACGAGGTTCTGCTGAGACCAGAGCGGCCAATACCGCGTTCATCGTCGGTCGGCGAAAGGTAGTCCCTGCAACGGTGGTGTAAAACGCGACGTTGCTCCACCTGTCGAAGCTGATCGAGTCTATCTTTCTCACGCATTTGCTGTTGAGTCTGTCGGTCTTGTTCTTCCCGTTTCTTAAGCTCAGCAAAGTCCTTTTCAAGTAGGGTCTGTCTCTGTAGGATCTTGAATTTTTCCTCTTGTGATAGTATCTATGGTACGATAAGAAAGCATGTATTATAAAACAGCATATATTCAAACGAATATTTTTTTTGCAAACTGTTTATCTAAAATGGGACCCATTCGTTACATAATGGAAAAGTTATTGTATAACACGATCTTGTATTTTTGTTTGTTGTTTCTTAGAGCTATTCACTTACTCGTGTTAAAATTTTCAGCGGTACACTTACAACTTTAGTAAGATCCTCATGCTTTTTAATGAGATCCTCGACGGCTTCCAAGGAGTCTCCTACGTTTGAATCAGTCAAAGCTGCCTCTCGGCTTGTCAGCCAAGCGTCAAGCTGATCAGCGTCGCGCATAAACTTTCTCACGTCAAGGTTTTGATCATACACGTGCTTTCGGCGGTCCCAAGTCTCTTCGAGGATAGCTCGGAAGTTGTCGAGCCGTATCATACGTTCGCGCACCTCTTCAGACATGAAGTGACCACTTGTTATTAGTTTTTGACCGTCCTGCTCAAAGCGCTCAAATGCAGGCTTTTTAGCGTCGATTGACTTCCTGTTAGCGTGGTGGCGAATCAGCAGTGCCTCAGAGCTCGCCACATCGGACGGCAGATCATCCGCCGTGATGATGGCCAACATTTCATTTGTCCAAGCTCTGTATTGCAAAATGAAATAAGAAATAATTAAGCTACTGCAAATAAATAGGCGTACGCGAACGCGCCAAACACCTGCACGCGTGATTGTTTAGGGGTTCATGGGCTATCTGCCTATGGATATTGTTACAGGCTCTTAGGCCAAGTCAATCCTGTATCGATGCTCGTGATGGAGTTACCTATCTCGCTTGGCGACCTGATCAAAGAGCTATGCATATACAAATTAAAAAAATAGGCAATTAATGCCGTACATGAGCTGGCTGTATTCGTCGAAGTACGTTTGGCCCTGCTCCGCCTGCGCGAGTCGCTCCTTCCGTTCGTGACAGTGCTCCTGAACCCGTTCGAAAATGCTCTGCACTTCATCGCGCTTCTCTTGCAAGTGGTCTCGGGCATCGGGAAAAGTATCCCAGAGCTGTTTGCCTTCAAGCAACGTTTGTTCGACTTGTTTTCGTATCGCATGCATTTCACGTTCAAAGCCTTCGTGTAGGCGAGCATTACGCTAAAATGTCACATACATATCCAGATGAAGGTAAAAAAAGGTTTGTAGGATGGATAGCTGCTTACATTAATGTCACATAGAAAATACACGACATACCTCAATGATTATTTGGCAGTTGCATTGTTAGCTAAATAAGCAATACTGTAATTTATATCAATTAGCAGTACTCCAAGGTATCTAAAAGATCATCTATAAGATATCATGCTGGCCATTGTTTGATAGGCGTTACTCAAATGAAGTTGACAGCAGCACGATTGGATTGTGTTACCTGTATGGTCTCGAGGTCGTGGCCGCATTCATCGGTGTTTATGACAGCATCTTTCTCTATCATCCAATCGATGAGTTCATCTGCGTTCTTGCCGAAGGTGTGTACTTGCTTGGCTCCTATCAGGGCATCCTTTCGTTGATCGGCACATTCCTTGAGTTCTCTATAGAGTTTGCTAACTCGGTCAGAGTTTCGCTCAATCGCTTGGGAATCTTTGTGGCTCTGGTTTTTAAGTTTGTGTGCCGTCTCAACGATACGAAGGACACGTTCTTCAGTAGAACCGAGTCCTTTCATGAAAGCATCAAACTTTTCCGCAAGCATATCCACCCGTTCGGCATCATTTCCATAGTCATCCGACGACGCAATAAGCATTTGTTGATTCATCCATTCGATGGTATCATCGACCTGGCGCAGGAAGACAAAATATTTATAGCTGGCACCGAGCTTTATTTGTTTCCCCTTAATGTCTTCGAGGAGAGTCTTCCAGAGTTGCTCAGCATTGGTGACGCGGTCACGGATATTAGCCGAATCAAAATGATTTGCATTGATAAGCATTTCGGCGAGCTCCTGCAGTCGAACGACGTGTTGCTTAAAGTTCTCGGTGTCGCGAAGCACCATATCAACCTTTTTCTCGGCCTTCGAGCATGAATTCTCATCCTTGAGTTGATCACAGCTCGCCAATGCTGTTAGTCTTTCCTATGAAACATTGAAGTTTGAATGAACATACGGCGAGCAAGTATGAAGATCGGACTACTTTCATGTATTCCATTTAATCAAGTTGGCTAGCTACTTCAACAGTCAGTACTAAGCAAGATAGCTTGACTAGTTAAGCTAAATACCAGTTAGATTAAAGGCTTACCTTAATCCATCCTTCGACCTCAGCGGCGTCTGCAAGCAAAGCCTGTCCAGCGGCGCTATCCTCAAGCCTTACGCGTCGCACTGAGCAGGCCTCACGCAGGGCAGCCCATGCACTGCGCAATTGATCGATCTTTCCAGCAATCAACTCCGCGTTCAGATGTTTGCTTTGTACAAGCTGTTCTCCCTTTTCGCACACGCTGCGTACAACGGACTCGTGGGTTTGCAGCTCGTTTTCCAAGTTCTTGTGTTTTTTCAGCAACGCCTGTACCGCATTCAGGTTCTCTCCCAGATCTAAAATTTGAGACGACATAGAAGGCACGATTATTAGGACTATATATATGTTAGGCTAGTGGGGACTATTGCTGCCTTCGACGAAGATATTCCTCAACCAACGCTGGTATAACTTATATACAATTATTACGTTCATATTAAACAATTCACGTGATATAATCATCCGATATTAACTATTTCGGCAACACTCACCGTTGCTAGTGGCAATACTCAGACGAAGTTGTATCCATGCCAGCTCTTCTTCGACGTCGTCGATAAACTGGTGAAGAATGAGTGACTCCTCGAGGTTTTCACGGCGTGTCTGGATTGGCTCAGTTAGTTCATCGTACTTTTTCACAATGGCCTTCGTTCGTTCCTCAATCTCCTCCGCCAAGTAACTGTCATTCTTGACTAGTGTATCACGTTGCTGCTTGACGCGTTCAATGTTGTCTGAGTAATTGTTCACTTGTGTCTCGAGCTGTGAATGCTTCTTGAGCAAAATTTCTACAGAAGTCAAATCTCTACCATGATCCTCTGAGTTTAGCTGTATTTCTACTTCGTGAATGAAGTTAGCGCAATCTTCGACGATCCAGTTGAATAGCAGACACTGGTATGAGTCGTTGAGGCGGGCCTTCTTTACCGAGACCTCCTTGAGTAATTCCTGCCACAGTTCCTGGATTCGATCAACGTGTGCTTTAACTTGAGTCGCGGCGAAGTTTTGAGTGGTAACTATTTGCTCACCCTCTTCCATGACATTGTCTAAGCGACGTTGATTCGCGATCACCTCGGCTTCAAATGCCGTGTGTTTCTTGATCTTTGATAGCAGATTGGTAAAGTCGCGGTAGTTTTCATCAAGCGCGACTTGCATCTTTTCGTTAATCCAAAACTCCAGCTCATAAACGTTCCTCAAAAACACCTGCAGGATCTGCGAAGATTGTAGCTGTTTTGCCCTTTCAGCAAGTCGTTGTCTCATACGGTCCCTCCGCTTGACTAGCTGCCCGTACGTGGTCTCGATGGAATCTTTATCATGGTGGCCCGATTCAATGAGCTGATCAACAAAGACGCCCAGTTGGTCAACGCGGTCTCCTTGGGCCTGGAGAGTATTAACAAAATTAGCGTGTTTACCAAGCAATGCACGTACGCTGGTCATGGAATCGCCGATGTCCTCATTGTTAAGGAAGCCTTCACAGGTGAGCAACCATGATTCGGTGTGAGATACCCGTTCCTTAAAAAGAAGCAGCTGCTTGTTTTCGTTAAGCGCTAAACTGCGTTCCTCCCAACATCCATCTAAGTCATTCAAAGTTGATAAAATGGACTGAATTGCCTGGTCGATCTGAGCGTCGAGTGTCTTGGATCTCTGGAAGTCGTCCGCTTTCGCTTGTTCCAGAAGTTTTTCTCCATCGGCTAAAATTTTTTGAGCCACTTCTTTCTTGGAATTCATATGCGCTTTTCGCTCGTCATGAATCGAAACGAGCTGTTCAGCCTCAGCTGAGTTCTGTGGCTGCTCCTGAGCTTGAAGATCGGATCTCATTTCATCGTACCACTTAATTAGTGACTTAGCGTCGTTAAGGAATTTATGTACATCGTAAACATCTTTCAAACGAATACGTTTTTCTTCAGTTAGACCACGTAGTTCGTTCCAATGTGACCGAACCTCATCCATTTTTGGCTGAACTTGTGTATTACAGGGAACAGCCTGAGCTTTAATCAGAGCCTCCATTTGCTGTTCGTGGTGTTTTAGCTTCTTTGAGATAGTTTCCTCAATTTCGCGCTCGATAGCATCTTGTTTCCTCTGTAAAGACTCCACAACCGCAAGGCTTGTTGGATTTTCCTCGGCCCGCAGGAGACCGCTCTTTTCCTTGATTCTATCCATTGTATCTGAGAGGTCTCTAACGTACGAATGAACCTTCATCGCAGATTTGAGCTTGAGTCGATAATCTTCAAGTGCTCCTTGAAGCTTTCTCCAGTTGTCGTTGATCTCTCGCCGTCTTCTTTCGATTTCTTGTGTAGCTTCTTTTCCGCTGTGGCCACTAGCTATAAGTTTATCTGCGAGTCCATTGATCTTCTGAATACGTGATTCGTCCACCCTCATGTCAGAACCCACATCATCTAACTTGCGTTCTAAGGTGGTGCAATGCTCGAAATCTACACCAGTGTCTCCTGCTTGAATCATGAGACCTTTTTCACGAATCCAAGACTCTACCTGGTTGCACTGATTGTTAAATTCAAGTATATCCTGGGCCTCCTCCAAACCGATACCACGTTCCTTGAGAAGTTTTATGAGTTGCTGCCATGACTTAAGTAGCTTGTCCAACGGTTGAGCGACCTCATCACGGTGTCCCTGCTGCATCAACTCCTGGCCCTTGCGCTGGAGTTCCTCGATACTACATCGATTGGCGGAGAGCTCGGCTTCAAATGTCTGATGTTTCTGCAATTGCTTCATCTTTTCTTCTAGCGTAACCTTCCCATGACTTGCCTCAATTTCGCTGTCCAATTTCTTCTTACGTAGCTCAATCCAAGACTGAGCTTCCTCAGCATCAAAAAGGAATTCGGCAAGGTGAAGCAATCTAAGTAGCTCCCTTCTCTTGAGGTTTGTAGCGTCGACAACCTTTTCTCGCCTAGCCAAAACCTCACTTAGCTTTTGACTTATAAGAGCGCTGTCGAAGTGGTTTTGCTTGATGAGAGCTTCAGCATGATCTTTCATGGTAATGATTTTATCTTCCTGGCTCTGCAAAACCTTCTCAAAAGCTTCGTGTTTCTTCAGGGCGTGCTTCACCTCATCAACAGACGAACCTGCTTCGTTACTTGCCAGCTGGGCTTCTTGCTGAGCACACATGGTGTCAATCTGTTTAACTTCTCGAAGGAAGAAGCAACGATCTAGCAGTTGCTTAAGGAAAGAGGTTCTCTGATCGAAAAGCTGATAAAGCTTCTCATGAGTCTTCTCAAGCGACTGTACACGTCGGTCGATCTCATCAGACGCGTAGTGATTAGTTTCCTTCATCTTCATACCATGGTTGACGAGAACAACGAAATTGTCATCGCGAGTTTGGATTTCGGCACGAATGTTCTGATGCTCGCTCTTCAGTGCCTCAACGTGCTCATAGCTTCGAGGGTTTTCTCGAGCCGCCAAAGATACGCATAGCTGATTAGCCCAATTCTCAAAGTCTCGGCAAGCGGTCAGGAACTTCTGCAATCGTAGACTATCATTTAGTGTATACTTCCTCTTAGTGACAATGTCCTTAAGCTTATTCCATTCATCCACGACGCGCTGTTGTTTTTCCTTGATATGCGTAGCATTTCCGCCCTGATACTCCCGTTGAAGTCGGTTGGCATCGTCAACTAACGTTTGCAGGTGTCCTTCAAGACCAAGTAGCGTGTTTTCAAAGCTCTCGTGCTTTCGCTGAAGTTCCTGGACGGCTTTTAGGTCACGGCCAATATCTTCGGGAATAGAAGCGAACTTCTCCTGGATACGCCCCAAAGCCTCGGCAACGTCTCTATTGAAACGGTGGATTTCGCCGGCTCCTTGTAGTTTATCTTTTCTGATTTCAATTGCATCTTGAAGGTCTTCCCACTTTTCTTGCAACTCTTCTGTTAACTCTTCGGCTTTTACAGCGTTCGAAGCATTATTTTCAGTAATTTTTTTGGCCAACACAAGCGCCTGCACGTATCGTTCCTCTCCGGCCTGAACTGAGATGACGAACTGGTCAAATTTGGCTTGCAGCTCAAGTAGATGTTCATAGTCTGGTCCATAGTCCTCGACAGAGGCTATGGTCATCTTATCCTTGATCCAATCGAGGATTTCCTGATGTTCACGAATAAATTCATGATGTTGTTTTGACTCGAGAAGTTTCTGCCGACGAAGAGCGGAAAGCTTGTGCAAATTCTTGATCTGCTGCTTAAGAGTTGCGTTCTTATTGGAAATTGTCTTAGCTTCAGGGTGCTGCTGGTCGATCATCTTCTGCGCAACGTTGCCCATTTCGTTCACAAGACCAGAGTAGCTGTCTAGCTCGAGTTCAAACGCCTTGTGCTTCGTGAGCAACTTGATTGCGCTATCCTCGTCTCGACCAAAATCTGGCGAAATGAGGTAATTTGTCTTCTCGTTAATCCACTGTTCGATCTCGTTTATATCCGTGTAGAACTGCTGTGCTCTGACCGAAGATTCGAGTACCGCCCGCCTCTTCTTTAGCTCCCTTTGAAGACGCTCCCACGCATTCTCGACCGCCGTCCTTTTATGGCCCACATCTTTAGACAATTGCTGAAATCGGAAGTTCATCAAATATAAAAGTATATTTAAAATAGCCGTCGTTAGGTGTCTAAACGAATAAATTGAAGGTGCTACAAACTACGCTAACTGCGTTGTTGTTGCTATTTTTCCTTCTTCTCTGCTTGTTTGTTTATTTTCGCAACTGGACGCTGGTGTGAACGTAGAAACGAACTAACCTGGAGAAGATCCTTCCAGTTTGCTCTTGGCTGTGCATCGACCTCATGATCTTTTTTGACTGCGGCTCGGGTAATCGGACTGTCTCCTCGGCCCTGGTTAGTCTCAATGGCTTTTGACGTTTGCAGGAATTTCTCAAGGAGAGGCTGGTGTGCTTGCACTTCACGAGATAACTTCTCATGTTTCTTCATAGCATTCTGCGCATCCGTCAGTGATGCACTCTGTTCGGCCTTCGTGTTCTGTGGCGGGGTATGTTCCTCTATCCACTTTTCCTCGCTATCGAGATCGAATTTACACTGATGAAGCTGCACCGAATCGTTCAGATATTTGCGACGCTCTTCGGCGGGTGATTTCAGTGCTTGTAGCTTATCTTGAACACGGCGAGCCGCAGTTTCAATATTGAGCCCATCGAAATGGCCGTCCTTCGCCAGCTGACCTCCATGGCTAGCAAGATCAGCAATCTTTGCTTCAGCCGAGGCCATGTCGTTTTCGATAGCTTGTTGTTTTGCTGCAGTAATAGATCGCACAACCAGCTAGAATCTATACATACTATTCAAACTTACCATGAGTTCAAGGAAGGCGTATGAGATAAGATCTAGCTTTTTGTTTCCAAGACTAAAAGTAAAGTGTCCCAAAAATGTTACTTGCTACCGTCTGTTAATATTTATATACCATGACGCAGAGTTATGAAGCTGTACGGTCTTATCCTTACCTAAAAGGTCCTTGGCGCTACGTAAGTCGTAACCAATATCGGTTGCCTGTAGCCTCCTCTCAATATCATCAAGTCGACCCTGAGCATCGTCCAGAAATTTGTAGTAATGCTTTTGTCGATCAGCTTGCTTCAGCTTGTCGCCCTTGTCGTCACTCAACTTCTGAACCGCAGCCCATTCCTGATTAAGACTGTCTAGAAGCATTTCGATGTCATCTGATTTGAAGTGTTTGTGATGAATGAGTTCCTTGCCCGCCTTGTTGACGGAGGCAACTCGTTCCTCATTGGCACGAAGTTCAGCCTGGAACGCCTCGTGCTTCTTGAGCTTGCGTTGTAAATTGCCTAAGTCACGGTAGCTCTCATCACTAGCCATCTTCTTTTTTGCTACAATCCAGTTCAACGTGTCGTCGGCGTCCGCTTTGAATTTTTGGAAAGCGTGCGAATCGAGAAGCTTTTGGCGAACGGCATAAGCTTCATCTTTACAGCTCTTGCGTCTCCCTACGACCGCATCGCGGGTTTCGAGGATCTTGGCGGTCTCATAATGTTTAGCTTCAGCCAACTTGTCAGCGATGTCTTTAAATTCGCGAACCTTCTCATCTTGTTTGATTAGCGTACTGACGAGATTGTCGTGCCGCTTTAACAAGTTCTCCACCTCATCAAGCGTCTGACCGAATCCTGTACGCTTCAGCACATTCATATGTGAGGCTGTAATCGAGTCGATCGAATTCGCTTCCTTCATAAATATTTGTAGATCGAGCGATTGCTTCAAGTGCGAGAGCTTTTCAAAATATCCCCTAAACGAATACAAATAGCATTTAGTTAAAAGCTAGCTCAGTGAGCTGCTACATCAACGTTGGTAGGCACGGTCTTAGTATAGCTGAAGCTTCAGCTGCTTAATCAAGATAATCGACTATGTCACAGACGACGCATTGATATTCTAATGTGGAAACGCATACTGAACCAAGCTGTCTTACCTCTTAATAGCGTCTTGCTCTTCTTTCAGTCTTCGGAGTAGGGGGGCGACATCGGGATTCGTCGCAACAAGCTTCTTGCCAAGATCGTCGAGATCCCTATAGCCAGGCTCATGAGCTTGGATATCAGGCAGGAGATCTTCGTGCTGTTTGAGAAGGTCCTCTGCGGTGCTTACATCCAACGCAGGCTCATAGCTGTTTAGCTGTCCTTTTACGCTAGCCAGCCAGTTCAGTAGCTCGCTGGCAGAGTTTTTCAGCACCTGTGAACCGAGTGTGTTTTCAAGATTGGCACGTCGTTGTTGTGCCGCTGTACAAACATCTTGCCACATAGCGACCACTTCCTGCTTTTTGGCTTCAGCGGTCTTTCGTTCATTCGGATGTTGCCCGGCGACCGAGTCAGCCATGTGAATGACTGTGTTCACCTTAGTTTTAATTGGAAGCAACTCGCGTTCGAGATTTTCGTGCCGTCGTTGTAGAGCTTGGACCGTCTTCATATCAGATCCTAGAGGAAGCTCCGTGTCGATCTTTTCAATCTTCTCACTCATCCAATCCTTAGCCTCTTCGACGGTGCGATAAAATACCTCAACTGACGATGCTCCGTCAAGCGATTTCTCAAGACGAGACTTAATATTGTTCATTTCGTTAAACATATCCTTGACCCGCTTGCTTCTGCGCCGAATATCAGCAAGTTGTGGGTGTCGTTGCTGGACGAACGTTTTCTCTAGATCCTCGATCTCGTTGAGGCGCGCCTTCGATGCCGAAATGTCCGTAACGAAACTCTACACATAACATACATTATAGCAAAATTACTGCGCTGTGAACTTAATTTTCCTGAAACCGTCAGTGGTTCGTATCAAGGATTGGACAAATCCATACAGAAACTACGTCAGCCAACACAAACAAAGTAAGGTTTCGGTCAGCTGTAGAAACTTACCCCAAATTTCTTCTTCTTATCGTTAACGGTATCGTTGGGATCTTCCGTTTGGATGCACTGCACTTTTTGTTTCATCCAATTTTCGAAATCGTCACACTTGTCGAAGAAGTCAAGGATGTTAATCGCATCATTTAATAACTCCTCCCGTTTCGCGGCTAGGTCGACTATGTGTTCGTACATGTTTTCAATATTTTTCTGCCTCGATTCCACGCCTAAATCTGTTGATGCTATATGCAGTTCACAAAACACAACCAAATAAGTAGAGTTACCACAAAATGTAGGCGCAGTCATATTGCCTGGCGTTCAGCTAGCGCATCTAGACGCAAAGCTGTAGTTCCGTAATGAAGTCTACTAAATCCATAAAGTTGCGGAACTTACCACGCGGACGGAGTTTCTTGACTGGTCGCTTAACGGAACGAGTTTCTTGGACCGGTACCATTTTGCGAACAATTCTCTCTACGACTTTCGGCGCTATCTCAACAACGTAGTTAGCGGGCACAAAACCTGTATGGTTATTGGCTCGGCGAATACTCCACCAGTCCTGATTAGTTTTATTCAGCAGAGTCAGCTCCTACATGAAAATCGACGTACCAGCACAAATGAAATTCTGCCTGTCTGTCTGCACTGTCTAGATACGTGTTGCAAAATTCATAGGACATTGTTTTCTAAATATCGAATTTGTTTCGTATCCAAAGACAAGAGTACACATATTTATTAATGTTTAAGCTTGCGCTTTAGGCCAAGCTATGTCCGGCTGGTTTCATTAGTGAAAGAACACTCCCGCACTGAGTATTTATTTGTTGAATCTTGTTTTCGAGGAGATATGCGTCAGCAACTAGCCGATTTTATAATAAATTACTACCGTTGTTATGTAGGTGCTTGTAATAATGAACAGTACCATAACCCCTCTACATGCTAGTAACTAAATGAGTACTCCAGCCTAGCTCACCGTGCGAATAAATCATGTATGGTTTCTATATTACAGTTGCAGCGCATGCCTGTCTATGCAAGGACACCTATTTTACTGCTGTTGTGTCAGTAAGTCTTATATTTATACAACCATACTACCAACTGAACCTAGAAGATATACAAGTATATTGGGCCGTAGACCCAGCAGCTTGGGCTTTCGAACTTTCAATGCATGTAGTATCTCCAAGAGTTATTTCATTTACACTTCATACATATATTATATGAACAGACAGCCTGTTTCACTGAATAAATTTTACGGTACCTTCGATGCTCTACTAGCCGTTCATAGTTTATTCGATTTCAAATTTAGCCTGTTATTTGTTTGTGTTTTTAAGCCCTTACATACGTATTGTTATCGTAGCGGTATAGTGAAAGTAACGCTCCTTGATTACCACATTAGGAGACGTGCATTAGCCGAGCAATGTAATATTTATTAGTAAATGTATTGGTACAGCTATGGCTATGAGCCGATGTGCGAGATATCGCCTAATGGGCTCGTTTCGTACGCCAGCAACGTTGCTATAGGGCCCTTAGAAATGCAAAAGTTCCGTCTAATATTTCGTACTTTCTTTCGCATGGCATCCCAAATGATCACGGACCATGATATATTTCTCTCATATCCCCATCATCAGACGGGCAGCTGACTTCCTCTGCTCTAAGAGACTCGCCCAGCGTCAGCAGGCGGCATTGTTTTACGATCCCCGACTTTAATCCCCCCTCATAGAATAGAATAAGCTAGACAAGCGTTATCGTGAACTAGCAAATTGAGTGACACTAATAATACATTCTCTATCGTCGACTATAATGACTCCATCCCCATCACCCGCATCCCGGCAAATCTACAACCTTCTCTTCCTTCATCTTTCGACCTCCACTCGTTTGCTCTCTAGGGACTTCGTTGGTATAGTCCAGCAGCCAGCAGCATTCGACTGAACAGTGTGTACCGTAAAGCTATCGGCAGCAGCGGTGACACTGTTGCCATTCGTCATCAGCCGAGTACTGTTATTTCCTAGCATGCTCACAAAATATCTGACCCGTGTTTTTCTTTACTGATTTGTTTTCCACTTGTTAACTGCTTAACGACTGCTCAGAATGGTAACAACCCACTAACAGTGGAGCTCTTTAAAACTTTTCTCTTCTTGCCTTGCCTCCATTTAGCGGTTCAGCTACGGTAACCAGGGAGCAGTAGAGGTAATTAGCAACGAAATTGAGGCCTGGAAACAATTTAATGCCGATTCGCGCCACAGTTACGTTCGGACTCTCCGAAAAGAAAGCCAGATTGCGCAGCAACGGCCTTTAGTCGGTGATATTAGTTGTTTCGGCTTTCTCGTCGTCGAATTCCCCTTCCCTCGAACAGATCCGCCTACTTTTTGCCGTCCTTTCCTCTACGGACTCTCTCGAATAGGTAAGGGTTTGCGTGTTCATGTCGCGGCACCGGCAGCGGTGAGGCACGGCGTCCGCATGCTCCACGCTCGATTCCTTTGCTTGGTAGATTTTTTCAGTCTTAACGGCAGTTTACCGGCAGGGAGGCAGGCAAGCAATCAACCATATCCCAAAGTCTACACAACGCGTCGATTTTGGCGCTGATCACCCCCATCGTCATCGCGGAGCGTTTCAATCCGCGGTCGCCTTCTGCCCTATTTTTCAAGCTGTTGTCGTTGCTACCAGCTTTCACGTCGGTGGGAACGGTCTGCTTCCAGCTCCTATCCGTATCATACCTATTTCGTTACAATTACATTGTTGCCAATTGAGATAAATTTATCTACTGGGCAGCAGTTATGCATTCCCACTGAGATTGTCATCAATATCAACTTAGCAAATTTGAACGGCCGTCATAATTGCAGTGGGGTCCGACACGACGGCGTGTACACTTCGAAACGGACGTGCGTGCAGCTGCAACGCGACAGTTACCAACAATTAATCATTATTAATCCAGCACGTTGTCGTCCTGTCAGTGATTCTCCTTTGTCTTTCTTTGTTTTGTTCTACTATCAATGCTTCATAGCGCCTGCGTCAAACGAAGCGAACGTCTTCAGATGAGGTTAGCAAGTGAGAGCGCACATAAGCAAGTGTATAACAAGTCAATGCGCATAACGCTTTAATGGTTATCCGCTGGTGGCAAGCCTCGCTATGTGTGTATCTCTTGTGAGGATTAATTTCGTCGAATAGCAACATCAGTCCTGTGCCTACGTGAAGTCCAAAGTGTATGCGTTGCTCTGACAGGAATAACTGACTGATCAACATAAGTGAACGCCCGTGTAATAATTGTTGTCTATCATTGGGTCCGATCGTCAAGACCGTCTCGTTTTCGGAGAAACCGGTCTGCATAACCATTCGATGGACTGGAGCTGTCGCAGCCTGAACGGAGGAAACGCGACTTTCCCCGTACCCCTCACACAACGAGAGAAAGATGTCGCGGCGCTAATCGTCGCCACGGAGGCCTTCCTTGCGTTCTTCGGCAACCTGGTACGTCCCTATAGGGCATTTTTGCTCGTTACAAATTCAAGCGCTTGTGATAACTTCAATCAATCGAGATCAATGACACTGCATGCCAGCACTCTCTGCGAGATCCTACAGTATTCTAGACGTTCAAAGCCATCTAGGTATACACAGTTGTCTAACTCGCTTTGTAATGGCACATCTAGTGGTAGTCCTTGACAAATTGTAGACTTAACTGCACCCGCTTCAAATAATTCATATCAATCAATCCGGTCCGCAAACAATCAGAGGCTTCAACTGATCATCTAAGATGAAGCAGACCATTTGTCAAGAGGTTACCTATCCACAAGCCCACACGGCAAGCGCGCTCATCGTGCTTAACAAATAAACAAACCCCACTCTTGCGCCACGCAAACGCCCCTCACAGAATACCGATATAGGCATAACAACGCTATCTGGACAAAGCTCAGGAGAGTTTCCGTATCTCTCCGCTATGCCAAACGACGGTCGATGTGACGTCGATGTTGTAACGCTGTGAATATGTCTGTATGTAAAGGCAGCGATAATCGAGAACGAATAAAAAGAACGCAAGCACCGGTACGCCTAGAGCAGGCGTATCTGCCTGTGTATCAGCCACCTAAAGTTGGCCAGCAAAAAGAGAATATCGACGGAAAAGCTGCCTGTTGTCGCTGCCGTTGTTGGGAAAACCAGCAAGAAACACAAGTGGAAGATGGTCGGGGAGGGGGCGCTGACTGGAGAAATTCGCGCCCTCACAAGTCAGCGGACGAACGAACATCTGTTGCTGAAAGGTCTCTGGTTAACCGCCGCGACAAACAGCACCCCGTAACAGGCAGCGGCACATAAGCCGATGACAGCAGTAGCAGTTGCAGCATCAACACGAGCTCGCACGGAACGGACCACGCAAACCGGGGAAGGTTGGCGATGACGGCGAAGAAGAGAGTTTACCGTTTCATGACGTCTTTCACTGCAACTGATTCTGCTGTTGATGCTGCTGCTGTTGCTGCCGCCGCCGCCGCCGCCGCCACTCTTCGATAGTGCTGCCGCAGCCACCATAGTTTGTAGGTACACCGACATCATCGCGGCCAACGCACAATAGATAACGTGATAAGCGCCGGCTTTCTAAGCCCTTTATAGACTTCGATAGAAAGAAACCCCATAAGTCCGAGCTGGCGTGGCGCGAACTAAGAGTAGCGTATAAGGAACACAAAACTGCTTAGGTGACGTTAAGCATCAAGGCCGGAGCGCCCAGCATATCATACAACAATTTCAACTTACGATCGTTCGTTTTGTATCTATTTATCCTCAAGTTTTTTTGCGTTGCTTTATCATGAAACAAAATTACCATGGGAGTTACCTGTTGGGCATCTATCTAAATTTTCCGATGATTGCGGTTGTGTCGCCGACTTAAATTCGTAAATAATCTGAATAATGAAAAGAATACATCTTTGCGAGAGGTTCCGCTGTGCCAGGAATCGATCAGGGAAAAGTTCATGATCATTTGTGGGCCCTAACCACCTGCTGGGCAATCTGGAGTCGGAAAGCTTTAATAATAATAGAACTATACTTGTGGGAACATAACTAAGTACACGTAACTTTTCGCATAAGTAAAAAATAGTGTTGAAAACTGCTTAAGAACGCGTGCGAAAGCAACGGCCGATACTCGTTTCATAGTACACTGCCATTTTTAATTTAATAAGTTAAATTCGTAACTTAATCAAATGATATCGTACGAATTTATTCAATTTGTACGATATCATTAAAGCATATAACGCTATGCGTACCGTATTGACATAATACTGCACTGCTGAAACAACGACTGGAAATTAGAGCATTCACTATGCAGGGCATAACGTTTTCCATACAGCAGTGTAATACAGCGCAACCGGCGTCGCAATATGTTGTTATGTCATTACGGGCAAGGTCTCATCGTGCGAAGGTCGCGTGCGCAAATTTCTACAACTGCTCTTCCAGCACTGCTACCAAACTGCTGCTATTACTGCTGCATCCCTGATCAGAATGGGGCAGTCGCCAGGGCTTACCCTTCAATTGGCCGTAACAAGGCACGAGTCTACGGCTTTTTCAGACCACACCTCCTCTGCTTCCTTTTTTTTGTCGCTCGTTTGCCGCAGGCTGACTAGATTCGATAGTCATCGCGTTTATAGATCATGGCGCACAGGCACATGGACCACCCATACAAATAGATGGGCCAGACTCATTGGAATAACGACGTCGTTGTGAACGAAATCATTGTCTTTCCGAAGCACGATAACGATGTAACGGACAATGTTTTATTCGTCACAGATTTTTCTTATCATTTCTCTACTCTTTCTGTCTCCGGCGTCAGCGTTTTCCGACTGACTCGTAAAGCTGTACTTTCTCTAGAATATCATACAACGACCGTTTTTTAGGTAACGATAAAAACACTGAATTTCTATTTTACGATAATGGTCATTAAGCGTTGATCGGCGAGATAGTAACGACAAACTCACGAAAGCGATCAACGTCAGTAGCAAGGCATAGTCATGCAAGCGGGTAATCTCATTGTCAGGTGAAGTTACCAGTCTCGCATAGGAACCAATGTTGCCTGCGCATGTGCTCGTGGTTATTCGTTCTCCGTTCCTTTTTACCATGAGATTGCGAATGTATTGCACCAGAGGTGTCGCTCGGATGATGAGGCAAGCATCAGACTCGTTAGAGACAAGGAAAGACAGTCTGATCGCAACGTTTGACTTGAAGGAGCTCCGCTCTTGGCAGAGAATGTACGCAAGCCTGGTTGGCTAGCGACCAAAGATGCCACCGTCGTCAGCTATCGCCATCCACTAGCGCCAGCCACGCTGACCGTCATTTCGGATCATCTCGGGTGCTTTAGCGCGCCGGCCCATGGGGCAATCCATCAACCCTTAACGGCTACCCAGCAAACGATCGTTAATGTTGCAGTCGTCGTTGCTTACTTGTCCGGGATCCCCTCCTCCTTTAGATCCCCCGCATCTCCGCCATTGGTTTGATTATTGAGGCAATTGAGACATTACCACATGGGATTAGGACAAAGGTAGATACAGCTGTGCCGTGCAACTATATCAACAAGCAATATCATATCCAGCAACGAGGCAGTAATGGCGGCGAACGTAATAGAAGCACGCTACAGATGATAGATAGGAAAAAACAGATATATTTAGGGAAACTAGCAAGCGAAAGCAAACACCAAAACTGTGATTAATTGGTGCTTCTGTGTATGCACGTAAATGAGACCACGAAAAATATTGTCTGTTCTAGGTATAATTTTATTGGCAGCAACGTTGCTTATAGGTCAAAGATGTACTATTCACTCCATCTATCTGGCCGTTGAAATTGATTCTTAACGTAAATATGATACCGAAACAAACTCCCGTAATAGCGTGCCTGCTGCTGGATGACGGGTGCGCTGCGGGGGCTCTACAACCCAACTAGATGTTACTAAGCAAAGATTATTGTAGACAGGTTTATTGCTTGAACAATTTTGTTGCGACTGTCGAGAGATCAACGCAAACTTACCACCTGGCTTTGACACTAACTAGCAAGCTGTGTGTTTCAATATGTTTATCGGATGTATTAACGAAGTTACCTGATCGTTAGTCTACCTTTTAAATATTCAAAGATGACAAAACCCCCTCTTCACTAAAGCTGCGAGAGGGCTAGCTTGTAGAATAAGCCTGCTTAACATAAATGGTTGATTGCAAATATTATTAAATACATTACTGTGCACGGTGTTGACGTTGACTCCTTGCCACAGCACCAACATAGCAACGTTGACCGTTACCATTAGGTAGCCATGCATCAGCGCCACACGAAGTAACAACTAAGCGTCTCATACCGGATTTTTCCACCATGTTTGATTGATAAGCATGATTCCTAATTAGGTGCAGGTTAGTGATGTTTAGATAACGACCTTTAGCCATCAATACAGTCAGACGGATAGGCCGCACCTCGATACAGAACAGTTGATATGACGGTCGGCTGCTCGGGTATTTTAGTTAGCTAATCTTCGCATGTTGGTAAAAAAAAAAAAAAAAAGTACGTGAAATGTGTACAGACTTTATTTGAAATACAAACGGGCCACTTCTCTTCAGAGAAGGTTCTTAATTCTACAGTACTGCGATATATAATAGAAGTGCGCTTAAAGATTCTCGTTTTCCATGACAGAGCGCCAATTTACAAACAGCTAAGAAGAGGCTCAATGAATCTAACTTTCGGGTTGTCCTGTTTTTCTGTTGACTCTTGGCCGTCGGATCGCCTTTCGTCGATGTATCAATTTGCCCACACACGCCCAGTTAGTGCTGGCCATTACGACGGTGGATTCTAAAGTTCGGCAGCATAAAGCCATGTCAATACTTGTGTCTTCACTCGCCATCAACGATATAATCACAGCGGTCCTCGTGATGGCTCCCTCTGCGTACTCGCTCAGCCATCCTAATGGTATGTCTAACCTATCTGAATACCTATACTTGTTTCGACTGTCATTGTAGCTAGCGTACATTATGTCCAGACTGAACTAGTAAGTAAACGTTTTACAGGTGATTTTCATCTGTTTTCCTTTTTTGAACATGGTTCGTTGCCCTGTTGCAACAACCTAAACTACTTCCAAAATAATCATTTGTTTGGTGTAACCACACGCTCCTTAGCAGGCTGAGCCCAAAAATGATCTCAGCCTTTGGCTTTTCTAGAGGTTTGATATTTATGGTACGTATTATAGTGTGATAACGTATTCCCCGAATACCATTGTTCTATGTAGATGATTGTCGCTATAGGTATTATCAATAGCTCTATGCCTTTTTCCCGTATATGCTGGGTTCCTCGGATACAACCACAAACGTATATGCATCAATTATAGCATGGCTAAAAACCGTGTTGCCGAATTCCATTCTCCCTGTGATCTCGGCAGAGACATTCTTAACATGGCATGAAAACCGTCGTTTTCTTTGGCCTTCTGCTTCTTTCTGAGACAGCCTCAACTCTCCAGTCGTAGCTTATATATATATAAGGCCGAGATGTTTTTTCATCATTGTACTTTGCCTTTGCTCTATTGAGCCTATTGGCCGTTCTATTATTATTGTGCTTTGATCCAGTGCTTTGTTGCAGTTGTTGTTGCTGCTGACGGTTTAGACGCTTTTTTTCCAACGTGCTCGTATTCATTCTCAGCTTATGATTTTCTCTTGTCGTGTTCACGGTCACTTCAAGTTAGCCAATCATATCCAATATCGTTATTTTGCATTATATACAAAAATGTATGTCGGGCGCATCTTTGTTTCCACAGCCTCTTCCTGATTACCTGTTTCCTCCATGTAGGAACGAGCGTACGACCTTGAACGTTGTTGTGGCCAATACTGCACAGTATTGGTTACCAGTTCGATTGCCGACCTTCACGGTCCGGTGGCAGGTTTTCGTGAACCCATAGCGCCGTTGCCGCAGGAAAAAAGACCTGAGCGATAGAATTAAGAAACAAGATTGTGTCCTTTTTACTATCCACTGCTGTCGGTACGATCCCCGTGCGTTGCTTCGTCGACTTTTTCATTAGCCTATGGCTTCGCGTTTCCGCAACTAACTTCGTACGTGTACGCATTACGTACTACTCCAACCACTTCTGTTCCTTTTTAACGGCGCAATAGTGTATTAGTCGAGGACGATTATGTTGTCCTTGTCAACAAACAAAGCTCGTTTGGGAAAACCCTTCCACATTACTCGATGACACTGTTTGTTGTTGGAAATTTACCTTTGTTTATATCTGTTGTAACTGTTACGAGCTAATAGACATTACGATCTGTATATATATATATATATACAGATATTTAAGTGTCGAGCAAGCGGCTAGTTATCTTGCGCTTTGCTCGTTAGCGGGGCTACATTACGCTTTCAGCATTAAGCCAGACAGATTAGCTGCAACGGAAGCGATTTCTGTAACAGTGAAAAAGATTCGAGCGTGCAAATGATTTTACCGCGTTTCTACGCACCGATTAAAATGTAAGACAGAAAGATGTCATTGGCGTCAAAATGAATATTCTTCGTAGCTACTTTTAAGCGAATGTGATCCTCAGAAACCAACAATATTTTATTTCGTGCAGCGTAACGTGCACGATGATCGTGTAAAGACGGCGCGGGTCACGTGCTACGAATACGGAAATTTCCTATGAGGATCACGTTCCGTTTTCCCGTTCTTCAAATGCGATTAACTGGTACATTGTGAGCTAACCACTCGGATCAACTTGCTAATAACACAGTAGTAATCTTGCGGTAGTTAGCGTGTTAATAGTTCATATAAACGGACCAATTGGTATTGTTTCAGGCTTTCCATTATGCCAGCCACAAGTATGTTCAGTGCACGGTGTCTTTAACTATTGGATGGCGACAACGTCGTCGATAACGCTGGCTATGATTTCTATCGACAGGAACATCTCTATTCAGAAGCCGCTACTCTATGCCGCGCAGCTATACTCGTCACGAAAGCGCGTCATTAAAATGGTATGAAAAGAGGAAACTCCTCAATTCCGTGGATTCACTGTCGTTCCTGCCACAACAGCCGTCGTTTGATCGTATAGACGATCAAACGACGGCTGTTGTAAAACACGACCAAGCACCCTCTATCACCTTTATGTTAATAACCTTTTAATAGTATTGTTAATTCTATTCGGAGAGTTATCACATGGGGGCTTGACCGATATTTTGTTTTGCTCTAGCGTTTCTATGAAATGTAATTATATTAATTAAACACCAACTAATGGACCGCATAAGGCAGTCCCTTGTAAAGCCGAACTGTAGTCGCAGGTGTTGCGAGGTCAATTTTTGTTCTTGCAAACCTTCACGCAACACTTGTCTGATGGTAGTTGTCCATTCTCGAGGACTGTTGCGCACTGAAAGCCGGTCCAGCTATGATACGGCTGAACATGTTATTGGTCTCACAGTTAAGTACCACATACAATTCAGTAGCTTAACGAATAACGTATGGAAAGGAAAAAAGAACTTTTGTTTCTGGCCGTACGCTGTGGTCTGCCGGGGATTGTGGTAGCAGTAGCATCATGTGTCGAGTATCGGTCTTCTTCCGTTCGTGTGCATTTTATTCCGCTAATCGCTTTCAGGTGCTACTACCTTGGACGCTAGGAATCATTTACTCGTTAGTTCCGTTTAGTCTTCAGTGGATGACCTATCAGCTAGACAACATCGCCTGCGACGTCAACTGGAACCCAGAGCCGGCGTACCGCATCTACTATGTGGCGCTATTTTCGCTCTGCTTTTTTCTGCCGGCGCTGCTAATTCTGATACAATATTCCCGCATCATCTACTCGATTCATATGTTGAAGATGCGGACACCATCGCAGGATGGCAACTACCGGAGTAACTCGACTAACGGCATGGTCAGTGTCGACTCATTCAAACAAATGCATCCAAATGTACGTTAGATTGAATACGTCTACTTTTAGAGATGACTAGACATACAAGCATACATTTAACGGGGAAAGCTAGAAAAAGAACAAGACTGACAGTCGTATTCACATAATATCTCTCTAGCAGCTTAGTAGTAAGAAAATCCTTGCATCAAAAACGTTTCAGGTCAAATCACCGTCAGGTATCAGCCTGAAGTTGTTAGGCCGTCGACCGACGACCGAAAGCGAGGACAATTCGACAAAACTCGTCCTCTCTGTTCTCACGCTCATCGTTGTGTTTTTTGTCTGCATCACGCCGTTTTGTGTCACGAAACTTATTAAGGTGATTGCATACATTTTATGGTAACACAAACATGGAAAGCGACGTAATAACGATAACATTCAAGATCAAGCTCTTGATAATGCTCAGTTATACGGAAGCCTAACGCAGACAACAAGGTTATAGAACAGGAACAAACGTAAGATTGTACAGCATTTACTGAATACCGCTGTCGTATTGGTGGCGCCCAAAATCTATCTAATTTTCCGATACAATGTGATTTTCCGATATTCTGCAATAATGATGTTTGTGTGTCCTTTTTCCGGCTTCGATATCAGGTGGTGGCCGGACCACATAAAGTGCCCAACTGGGGTGATATGCTTTCGACTATCATCCAGTTTAGCGCTTCTGTCATCAACCCCGTTGTGTACTCGCTCGGCCTCAAACACTTCCAGAAAGCACTGATGCGGCAGGGACGTAACCTCAAGAATAAATGTTCGATGTATTTCTATCCCTGGTGCGAAATCTTCTAACCGTAGTAGCCCAATCAGTATCAGTAAAATCGCACCGTTACCGCCGCTGCGAACGCCACTTTACCAGCTACTATTAATTACTACTACTGCTGCTGCTACCAGCACAACGAAACCCTACATTAATCGCGTAATGATTCAAACTTAGAGGTGTCGGAACAAACAAAGCAATAAGAACTGATAAGGGCAAAATGTCGCCACTCAGCGTATCGACAGACACAGTTGACCAGTGCAAACATCGCATAGCATGAGCAGCATATAGAAACAACTTTACGGTCATAACGAGTATGACCACCATAAATCTATAAGTAGTATCATACAGATATCCTAGATAGTTGTACCCGGTCGTTTTTTGACGATCGCTAATGTATTGTGTCAGTCTATGTCCAATGCGATACAGTCGTAGAACTAACAAAACAAAGGCCGAATGATGTGAGTGCAGAAAATCCACAGCGATAAAAGGTCTTGGCCAAGGTCAGGGCTAAATTAGGACAAATCTGTCCTACATTTGTCCATAAGTGATGCCAGCACTACCAAACACAAAGAACTGGTGCTGATTTTTTGTATATACAACATGTAAATAAAAATCAAACTGTTTGTGCCAACACCGTTACCCGCCCAATGAATATACTCGATATTGTTAAACGGGAGTAACCCAGATTTTCATGGAACCCGCGACCAACGCCCGTTCTATATAAACGTGCATCTGTCGATGTCAAACTCGCCGCAGCGCTGACGTGGGCTTGAAGCGACGGGTAGATCTCAAGCTGGCGAATGATTGAAACGACAAGAGGCCGCGCTAGGCCTAGTAAAGTAAGGCTAGAGAGCCAATGACATGTCAAAGGGCATCCTTCACTCTTCGTTTAAAGCCCGAGGTAACATCGAACAAATGCCTCGTTCCTCGATAGCTGAGTGAACAGATCATGCAATGCTGAACTATCACAAACCAAAAAGAAAGAAGATACTAAAATACAAAGCAGGCGGCGAACGTGTGCGCGGCAATGGGCTATTGGGTTGATGATGGCGGAAAAAAATCGGGCGAAGGTAAGACGTAAGAATCGAAAACATAATTAGCTATTTACGTAATGGGTGATGACATGATTGTTGAAATTAAATACTAGAGCAGAAATGTGTTATTTAAACCTTTCTGAACTTTGAAATGCGTGAAAGTGTCGAAGTTTACTCAAAAGGCGAACCTTATAAAATCACTGTGAAAAAATATAGGGCTTCTGCTGCACTGATCGCTATTTGATGTTCTATCTCAAACACAAAAATACATAATCTGATGACGTTTTCTGTCAGATCCGCTAATTACGTAAGCATTTAGTGATTTATCTCTGCCACATATTCGTCATATATGGATCCATTATACTGCACAGGCCCTCTATAATAAGAATCTAAAGCTACAGTAAAGAGCAAGTGATTAAACAAAGAACAGCCGGGAGGTTCCGGCATGAATTAAATCGCGATCAATAACGAATTTTTCATGTTCCTTTCTTGATCGTAAAAATAATAAGGATAGCTACAAATAAAAATTAAATAGGCAAATCATTGAATGATTTTTAACTGTATATTGTAGCAGCATACTAAATCTGGATACCCTGTTAATAACTTGGCGCAAAAAACGTTTGATTTTAAAGTAACATCCATTCGATTACTAATGTGAATTTTTGGGTTAAGATATTTGGTAGCATACAATATTCCAATAGAAATTGACAACTAAATAAATTGGAGAGGTTCACCAACTTACCTCTCCTTTGGCGACCTGCATGCCTTGTCCCTCGTACGCATACATCATCTTCACCTGTGGTTCTTCACGCTTCTCTTTACGTTCCTCGATCTTCTCGACCGTGATGACTTCCTGAACGATCTCCTCTACAACTTCGATGTCATCCTCGACTTTTTCCACCAACTGCTTAAAAATAGGAGCAATCTCAGTGGGCAACTAAGTGTTACTACACTGATTCCAATTTTAACGATATTATCATCTAATATCACTATTACTGGATTAATAAGAAAAGATTAGAACTTACATTCTGTGCGACTCCTGACTTAACCATTTTGTCCACGAGGTCGCGCAGTTTTTGAATTTCAGGTTTATACGCACGAATTTCGCCGCTTAACGTTTGGTGCCTGAAATTATTAAACAGACGTGACAACGATTATAAATAATGTTAGGGCGGAAACTGTAGCTTTCGTCTGTTTAGTCTATTTAAATAAACCTGCTCAGCAAAACAACTACTACATCAAAGCCCAGCAAAGGAATCCTGAGCAATATTGCCTGCGAGTTCGCCTCTGTTAGCTTCCTACATAGTGAGAAGCCCTACCTAAAAGGCTTTATCACGTCGTCTTCTTGATTAATAGTGGAACATGTATTGCGACCTTGTACCTCAACATGTACACAGCGATCGGTGAGCTATAACAGAACCAGTTGTTTTTATTGCCTAACTCAGGTTCTTATTTATATTTTTTTCGAAATAATTCTAGTGACATATTGTATTTTAAATTTGACGTTTTAAGAGATCAGGAACGTAGGCCTGCACTCCAGTTATAGTGTGCTGACCAACTCGTCAATGGAATATGAGTCGGCAAGATGAATTAGGTTTAGTGTCACAGGTGAGATCGGCGTATACTTAGTAACCAATGTTTATTCTCTGAGTAGGAAAAAATATAAAGGTGTATTAGCAGAGATGCACCCGATTCTATTGAAAAAATCGTCACGAAACGATTCTACCAGGAAAAACTACGTTATGTATGCAAAGCATGTTTTGTATCGTGACGTTATCGATCTCGTGCACACTAGTTAGCATGGAGAACGCTGACTAGGTAAAGGGTCAGATTATTTTGAGGGCAGAGCCAAGTGCTTGAGATCTAATGCAGAGGTGAACTACAAAGGTTTGCGATGCGATTAGACAGGACGTCTGATTTTCCATAAAGAAAAAGTAAAACGTGGTGGATAACTCGTGAGTGTTGTACAAACAGATGAGGAAGGTGGAATGATCGGAAAAAAAAGTGATTAAAATGACCTTTATGCTCAACCGAATGCTCGGAATGCTCTTAGTTTCTAAATTAACCTTCTGAGAGAACATTGAAAAAGCCGGCAAAAGCATATCACGAATTTGTTTGCGCTAATATTTTGGTGCGAGATGTTTTGCTTTCGGTGAATAGTGGTAGCCGTATCGTGGTATAATGTAATATAGGTTACGGATTGAGCGTTAGTTCACCTTTTAAGTAGAGACTGAGCAGAGAGGACCGAGTTGCCTCTGTCTTCAGACGCGAGAAGGGGCAGAACTTCGCGCAAATAGCTCTCGGCCTCATTAGCATCGCCTAGATAACGGAAACCCTCATACGCGTCGTCGAGTTTGCCCCGCTTCTCCTCGCAGAGCTAAAAGTGACATCAAAACAAATTACTTAGCGCCTCGAGCACCATATGAACTATGAATGAACATTTGAATTCCAGCCTTTTCACATGCCAAGATGAATGTAATTTATACCGAGAAGCACCTTTTCACTGCCGATTCTCAGAAATAAATTGGTAAAACTAACCTTATTAAGAATCTCAAAGTGTTTTTCAATGTCCTTGAGTTGCTTGGCGATCGGAGCCGTTTGTGTTCCGCCGATTTTCAATGCGAGTTCTGTTCCCCTGGCGCAAATCCCCTGGAACCTCTTGTGTGCAGCACGTATTTCCCCTTCAAGCGCCTTATGTTTTTGCTGTGCAGCAACTAGCGATACCATGTCTCTACCGGGCTTGAAACTTTGGCATGCCCTTTGCTTGTCGAGCACTTCTCGTTCAAGTTCCTCCAATTCGGTCACGAAACGGAACAAATCGCGAGCAGCATGCAGTTTATCCATACGAACCGCGGCTAACGTCTGAGCTTTTTCAAACTCACTCTCGAGAGCCTTCTGCTCTGATTTCATGGTCGTCTTGTCTCCGTGTCCATCTGCAATAGTGAGCATTGACACCGTCTTTAACAAGCTGGCAAGCAACAACATGGCAGATTGTTGTGTCATGCGGTTTTCGTATTAAATCACCCTCGTTGAAAAGATAACTTTCTTTTAGTTCCGCACATGTAAATGTTGATGATTCTCTATAATTGAGGTATTCATGACCAGCATGTATGAAACACCTTTTGTCAAAGGGCTGCATGTTCCCAATCGTGCCAGCAAATTATAGCTGCGTTCTTAAAGCTTTTGTCAGCCATGTTTATGTCAGTTCTATCGCTATTCGATCACTTTCGAAACCATTTTCACGACATAAAAACATACCTTTATGTAGTTGGTTGATCTGGTTAGCCAGTCTTGCAATGGTATCTTTGTGAGACCTTAGCTGTGAGGTGGCAATTGAATGCTTCTGAACAAGATCTTCATTGTCCATCAGATGACGGCCACACTCTGTCGAGCTAAACTGCGCAGCAAATTCACGAAGATCTTCCCGGAGACTAGCGATATCACGGAGAGTAGCCGCAAGAAGAGCTAGAAGAACAGCACACCCTTTAGTTTCGAACTCGGATTGAAGTGTTGGTTCCAGGCTTAATATATCTTTTGCCCGTAGTTGCCGACCGTCGATAGATATAGATTCGTCTGAACACCAGACCTCACAAGTTTCATAATGAATTTACGCGTACATATTTCCATAAAGTTTATCCCTTGGCTTGATGTAGATATCTGTTATCTTCAATACAGGACTGAGTTCAAAACATCGTTGCTGGGGGGTTCAAATATTTATTCGATGAGCACCCAAACCTCGATGTTACCGCCAGCAGGGAATTATTTAGTGTTCTAGTAATAATGGACCTCATAAACACAGAATTGTGTATTTGTCGATGTTGCAATATCTATCCAAACGATAATAACGGCATTTATAATAACATCATACCATATAAATGAAGTGCTTTCCTATGCTTGTCGAGAAGACCAAGCACCGTGTTGTACTTATTGATGATTTCATCGTGCCTTAGTTTGATATCGTTGGCTTTGTGATACTTTTCCTCAACCAGATTATCGCTCATCTCGCTCAAATTTTCGAATCTGTCTTTTATAGCTAGAACGTCCGCTCCGATAGCCTCGTGTTTCATCAGAGTCGCATCCACTGTCTGCTGGGCATACGACCCATAGCGGGGATCGTTCAGAACCGCGATCATGTCATCCAAATAGCTCTCACGTATCTAAATACAACAACAGTTAATATTATCAGCTCACGATATTAGTTAGATATCAAGAGCTCATTATTGAACCGTTTTCTAACATCCAATTACAGACTAGGCAGTAACTTATTTATAGGATAGATCTCAAACGATCTGAAGGGATAGTGCATAATCGATACGCACCTGGACATTTTAGCTTCTTCTATGCGTTTATTTATCAGCTCCTTACATATATTTAGCATACATTTGATCTACTCCTATCGGATATGTAGTGCAACAGAATCCAATCGATTCAGGTCAACATTTAGGACGCGAAGTTCATTCATAGGTCTACACAAACCTGGGCCTTCCTCAAGAAACGATGTGCCATTGTCTGGAGTCTTTCCTGGCGCAAAAGTTCATCCTTCAGAGATACTTCTCTGCCATGCTCAGCCTGTTCGAGCTCATTCCACGCTTTCTCCAGGTCACTGGGATGACATCCTTCGGCCGGAACATAGGCGGGTTGACCTAGAATTATAATTATCCAGTTTTTATTGACCAGTCGATCCATGGCTTAAATAATTGATACAGTGATATAAAACCTTGCGTAGACCACTAAAGTAGGGCCAACAGCGGTTGGTTTAAAAATCTCACCGAGTGCTTTAAGCTTCGTCTGTATGGCAAAAAGCTGTGCCTCTATTTCAGCACGTTCCGTGTATCGCGGCGGTTTTTCGACAGTACGATACTTTTTGAACGTACTTAGCTCCTTTTGGATGCCCTCGAGCGAATTCGGATAGCTTCTGGCATTCAGTTGCTTAATTTTTCCATTAATCCACATAAGAAGGTCGGACATCATTCGTTCGTAAGTTATCTTCTGCTTGTCGATCTCCATCATGCGCCCTACAATCTAGAGTGTCAGAGTCATGAGAGAGCGAGTGAGCACGTAAGTAATTGACGAAGGGGAAGAGAACGCGAGCAAATCACTTACTTTAACTGTATCTAGCACAATGTTAGATCGCGGATTAACAAGATAGTTTGAATTTTCGAAAATACACTACATGTTTCAGTGTTCCGTAAAGCCACTAAAGTGTCACTCAGTCTTCTTTGAACGTACGTTTGCGATTCTACGTCCTCCGGTAAGTTCCTCTTTCATGCGAAAGAACGTGTGGTAATAAGAAGCCACATAGGTAAGGACAGACTTCTCATCCGGTTTTGTCACATCGACATCTTCGGCATCCAGCAGTCTGAATTGAAACAAGTATAAAGGAAGTCTCCATCACTATGGTTTAATCTACTCACACGCATATGCGACGACTATGCAATTACAAAACTGTGGATGAACATAACATCTCTAATAGCTTCTTACACGAGATTAAAAAGTACATTTCAGTTGTAAAAACAATTAGGGTATTGAGCATCGGCAATCAATAAATTCTTCATGAATGACTCAGAACGCCGTGAGGGACCTACTTTGGCACACCCAGTTCTCTATGCGCAACCTCAAAGGCTTGATTAAGGTTTTCGATGTGGTTCTGTGGCTGCAGTTCTTCGAAGCGAACTAGGTCTGGTCGATGGGAATGAATAAGAGCATTGAACCCAAGTCCGTTGCGCCACGAAGCGCTGAAGTCGGCGATATGCACCCCAGGATAGCCACGGGTCTTGCGCTGACACCAGAGAAGTAGGGCCTCCTTGGCCGACTTTTTTTCCGAATCCTCCTTAAATTCCTCATCCTGAAAATGTAGCAAGATAAAAAAAAAAAATGCGTATTTTTTTATGACGACTTTTTTTGCCAAAAGGCAATACGACTAGACGAAATTTTCAACTATTAAACTATACAATTCCTGCACCTGATAATAATGATATTTCAATTGGCTATGAAGCGACCGCCTTTATCTATATTAACATTTTGATGCTTGTACACGGTGTCACCGATTTGAAATTTCAAAAATCGCTTTAAAAAAAACTTCGATATCGACGTTTGCTGAAGAAAAAAAAAGGATCTAAGAGAAGAGATAGTAAATTAATTATTTTACGAGTGCAGCAACAACGTTAAATCAATAATAGTGTTTTGTGTACGGCAAACGTAGTACGTGATGAGAGGTACAATTCTTGCGCACATTGTTGCTGTTGTGTAGTGAATGTTCTGCAAAGAGATTACGTGCGAATAAAATGTATGTTCTTCTACACCGGGGTCTTCAGTGGGGGAATTCGTTTCAGACTTCAAGTAATATCAGAGGAAGATTTCGGTTCGGAGTTTTCCGAATGTTGCTGTTATATGTAAAAACATTATACGGATTAGTAGAGATGGCCGTTAAGCAGTTATTACCTCAATGGGTTCAGTGATGTCATGAATGACGAATCTCAAAATGATAGTCCAAATAAGGCCCAGAATGAGGCGACGGTTTCCATCAACGATATCTTCCGCTCCGATCGACTCTAGACGGACCTGTCGATCGAAAAAAGAAATTGAAGACGTAACGTTAATGTGTTCTTGATTTTGTTTTATATATATTGCTGCATACTTGTCACTGCTCGATAGTTACGTTATTGTATATTTAAACCTATATATATATATAGATATCCCAAAATAATAAATTATAACCTTAGTTTTGATTTACATAATATTGATATTTAGCTGCAAATATCATATACATAAAACGTACAGCTTTCCTTTCGAACGCAGACACTCAAACGCAGATATAAACTCGTACATATGGGTATATAGGACCACCATACAGTTTGTAACTAACACCGTAATAATAGGCCCATATAATTGTTGCGTTATGCATATAGAAATAGCAGTACACAGCTTCTGATAGCTTTGCAAGTATTCTCTATCACGCATTCTGATTTTGTATAGAGCCATCCCAATGCAGGATCACCCACACGCTTGCTCACTATCTATCTGAGGGCCTCGTGGGACAGATCATGCTGTCGTTGCAGATTACTGCGTTATTGTTTCTTAATGCCTTCAGCTGCAGATAGTAAATAATCCAAGGGGTCCAAGCCTGCTTATCCTCCTATTCGCACTGTCTCAGCGAGCACTATAAGGGCAATACGTATCGCTTTCCAGTTACATCACCCTATTCACCCCTATATTAGTTAATCTGCTTGCTGCAGTTATATTCAATGCAAAACAAACGATCGCAATGTGCTTAATTACGTGGCACCTCTTGTTCAATGTTCAGTATTTGCGTTTTACGTAAATTACTTTACGCCGAATTTACGTCGAACCAGCTAAACATGATGCCTCAAAAAAGAGCAGTCTATTGTCTTGCATCATCTTGTGTTAGAAGAAAAGGAATAAGAAAAACCGTCATGGCAAGAAGCTGCAAAGTCATTTTCAGCAACTCTACACCGTGTGTGAAACGTGCGTTTCGACACACAGGCCCCGCAAAAACAACCACGGACGAAGTTTTATCTATAAAAAGATATACGATAGCATGTAGAATAATGCCTGCTGGCCACACTGATCATGGGGACGAGAAAAAGAATTTACATTTGAATAGCATAGAAGGCCAGGCATCTCGGCGATGTTCAAAGCTGCAAAGACACGGAAATTTTTGTTTCAACACAATTGGCCATGTTGCAATGAAACGCTGTAGCTGCATAGAGCAATGTATTCCAAAGGACACCTCATATTCTTTCAGCGGTTGGCGTAATAGGTGCAGCAAATAGTGGCCGAAAACTAATATAGTTCGTAGCAGAACCAGCCCTATGCATCATTCTATAATCATGCTGGATATATTCGAATCTCATAATTTGAAAGTGCGTAACCGTGCGCTCAGTATTCGAAATTATTCTACCACCGGAGTCTATCAGATATTGTCCGTTTTGTTGCTCGTCATCAACCGACGTACTCTATGTGTGTATATACATATAGTGCTATGTTCCTGCACGTTTTCCTGCTTCAAAACCGATAAAAAGCTATTTAGTCACCGCTAAGACAAAAATTGCGGGAACTAATAGCTATAGTAAAGAAAGTGATGTTTTCAGTTTGAACGAGACCCAGAAGAGGCGGTCATCGTAGACGAGTGATTATGTGCATGTCATGACTAAATCATTTAAGTTGTGTATTTTAAGTTTTACTATATACCCAAACAAAGCTAGGTCGCATGGTCAAATTAGCTTTCGTTAAATCTTCAGTTAGTTTGGGGTAAAATCGTGCGCGAAAAATATCTATTGTTATTAAACGATCATAGCTCGAATACTCTACGGACAGAATACGCTAAGATATATAATTCTTCCCCCAACGGATCTTCGCTTCTGGTAACAGATGTCTGACAACATCAATAGTCAGAATCTTTTACAGAATCGCTGTTGTATTATAACGTAACGAGGAGCATCAGATGTTTTGTAACAATAGCTTTACTGAATGATGGATAATAATAATAATGAAAAAAAAAAAAAACAGAAGAACTATTCAGAGTGAGTGCATATAAACGGATCGCGAAACCTGTAGCGTGAAGAAAATTTATTCCACAGATGGCCTATTTACTGGGACACCTTCTCGAAAGGTTAAGAAAGAAAAAGTTCGATGAGAAACAGATGGGACCGCTAAATGGAACTATTTGTGCGTATTGTCCTTGGAAGATGGTTACGTGAGGCGTATTCGCCGCCACACGTTGATGTCACGACGTCTCGGCAAATTTAAGAATGGGTCCATATACCTTTCATGACCGGATACTTTTGAGCCTGTTTTCACACGTGGATCGACGTCTACTCAGTCGTTTTGAATGATTAGGACAGAACTCTTTTGTTGCAAATATCCAGTGAAATCTAGAGCAAGAGAACCTCTTTTTGGCCGAAACGAAGTAGCTTTGTCAGCAAAATGGCACATTGTTAAGAAGTATTCCGACCGGTTTTACACTGGTTCTACACCGACTGAAATAACAGCAAACCATTCTTCTTTGTAAACGTATTTATATCTTTCGACGAATTAAAATACAAGGAAATCACTCTCGTTACTTCTGGCGTGTCGATTTGCCTAAATCTAACTGTATTACATGAACTTGTATACGTTTCGCTACTAACCAAATCCCTATTACTATTGCTATGCTAAGCCCCATACATTTGCCCCGTCATTTCAGGGGACATTCGAACAAGACAACACTGGCAGATATTGAAGTATTACCGAATGGAGCCCACGAATAGGACCTACGCAGATCCGTTTAAGCTGCTTTTGTGGGCATGCGTTAGCTTGGGCCCACCTAATTCTCACGGCCAAACGTCCTTCGAAGCCATACTGCTTGCTAGGCTTGCATATGCAGTTTTAAAGTAACCGTAATAAAGAAGAATTATGCAGTTGATTTGAATATCGTAAGATAGTATCAACGACTACCGTGTGCGCGGTAACGACTAGTTGCTATACGGGTACGCTACTTCAAAACCATTTATTTTACTTGAAGATCTATTGCTTCATGACAACGTTCCTAGTCATTCGAGCGCTAACCCAACAGAACGTATAGAACCGTTCAGATAAGTCCATTAGTTTGTACTCAATCTGTTCAGGCTTTTGCGGTAAAGTTGCTTCATGTTAATAAGAAAATAGGGGAACACCTGAATCTTTAATCTCGGGGTTACAAACCAGAAACCCAATCAATCTATCACTGACAACTAAAATGAATCATCCTAAAATTGTAGACATGCTCTCAATTACGTGTCTATGCCAGCATTTATACTGGAATAATGAATCATCTTACTATGTGCCTCATCCGAGGTAATCGTACCATGTGAAATACATGCTTTAGAGTCTGGACAATTTTAATCTAATGCAAAAATGCTCAGTCAATGATCACAGATTCCAATAGATAAGTGATCAAGCTTCACGAACATTTTGCATGGTAAAGGAAAGTTGATGATCGGAGAGACGCTTATTCGGTGCCTGGACGAAATGCGTAACGATAATAAGCTTTATTTCTATTAAACGACATTTGCTCTAAGTAGATCGCAAATACTTCCATTTAACTAGGACTATTTTTGTTAATTCGCAGCTCCAAAGGTATGTTTCTAAAAAGAAGCAAAGGTTACTGGCTATCTTTGGATATTTCTTGCTTCCGGGTTTCTGATTCCCGCACGAATCTTACACAGATCGCCTGTATTAGGTAGAACCAACCAAGTGAAGCTTGATTGGTTCTTGAAATGCGAGTGAGATTGTACTTCCGTACTTAGTAATGTAATAGACGTTAGCGGTAATCGAGAATTCCATCTAGAACCTTTCATATGGCAAGCAGTACAAAACGGTCTTCCTGCATCTTCCCAACCAGTTGCATATTACAGAAAGAAGGTTCGCTGGTTTTTCTTTGCTGTAAGTCTCTGCTCGTTTCTTTCCTTACTCTCAGTGGCTATCTGTCAATCAGCGCCTTCGCTGTGCTTCACTTTGGTTCTCTGTATCGATATAGTCTCCATGGCTCCCATCCACGCGAATAAACGCAGAGAAAAACTCCAAAAGGAGAAGCGACCAGCCGCGCGCAGAGAGTCATTAGATTGCTCTCCGCAAATCGTAAGACTGTTCGTCAAGCAGAGGCAATCTTCCGCTGTCTTCTGCGGTGTCGGTTGGCGATGGATACCGCAGTCAAGAACGGCATGAATGGCAGTATCGAGTGCAGCGGGCGATAGCAGCTCTATCGCAAAGATAGGTCTGTGTCATTATTGTGATGGAGTTGATTTCACTGTTCGGTTGCCGCGGACGTTGTCTTTCTCGTTTCTTGATCCTGCTGCCAAATCGGTCAGCGGTAGGGGCGCCTAAATTAACGCCCACGTGCGATTCGATAGCCCGACCCACGTTGGCAACAGCAACTCTCCATGTCTTTCCCCTTTCTTACGAGACTCACAAAGACGCCGACGATGACAAAAGAAGGAGAAAATGCGATCGTCCATGTTATTTGTGTTAATTTTCAGTGATACCACGTTCGCATATGAATGACTTGGTCTTTGATTTGGTTTTAATATATTGACCTACGTACAACCATATCTTGGGTGTATTCCTATATACTTGTTTATTTACAAACAATAGTGTGAGAAGAAGGGCAACTGTCCTAACCAGGAGGGTGCTTAGGTCGGTCGGTTAAGTTATGATTTACAACAGGCGCTATATGTTTATAGGAGGAAAAGACGGGATGTTCGGTTGCGCTCCGTTAATCCGATTTTTTACTAACGTCGGAAGACGCGCATCAATCGCAGCTATTTCACGTATCGTCATCGACGCCTCCATTGGTGTGGTTACAGGAAGCTGTTTGAGGGCCGAACAAATTATGGGGCTACATAAATTAATTCAGTGGTATACTGATGCACCTTTGCGTACGACGGACTCCGATTACGAATTTCTAGGATGGGGCTATTCGGCCAGCATCCGTCTTTGTCAATCCTGGGCCTTCCTGTCAGCCGGAATTTTGCAGCTGTCTCCTACTCATTAGACACGTACCTTTAACGAGAATGATGAGTCAC